TTTTTTGGTGATGTAGATACATTTCTGAATTGCTAGCATGAAATCCTGGTAGGTCACTGGCAATTTTTGCCAAACTAGATATGCTGTAGCATGAAATCCTGGTAGTAACGTAGCTCACCTGCAATTTCTGGTGACTTAAACATGTTTTTATATTTCTACCATGAACTCCTTGTAGCTCACTGGCAACTTCTGGCAACCTAAGACACATTTTCAAATTTCTAGCATGAACTCCTAGCACCAAAGTAGCTCACCGGCAAACTCTGGTAACACAGACATGTTTTTGAATCTTTGGTGAATCTGACAGATTGCTGGATTTGTACAGCGAAATCCATTAATGTTACCAGAAATTGCTGGTGAGCTACCTTGCTTCCAGGATTTCACATCTAGATTACAAGAATTTACCATTAAGCCACCTTGCTTAGCGAGTTTCATGGTAGAAGCCCGTCAACAGCAGATTTCAGTCCGTAGGCATGTTGAAGAAGTACTGTGCATTATTGATGCTGCTTCTCAAAAGATGGCCTAGGTTACCTGCAATTGCTGGTGGGCTATAAGGATTTCATGGTAGAAAGACTGTCTAGGTTACCTGCAATTGCTGGTGGGCTATAAGGATTTCATGGTAGAAAGACTGCCTAGGTTACCTGCAATTGCTGGTGAGCTACAAGGATTTTTATGATAGAAATCCAGAAACACATCTAGCATACCAGAAATTGCTGGTGAGCTTTGAGGATTTTATGCTAGAAATCCAGAAACATGTCTAGCATACCAGAAATTGCTGGTGAGCTATGAGGATTTCATGAAAGAAATTCAAAAATGTGTCTAGGTCACCAGAAATTGCTGGTGAGCTACCTTGAAATTCAAAAATGTATTTAGGTCACCAACAATTGCAGGTGAGCTACCAGGATTTCATGCTAGCAATTCAGAAATGTATCTACATCACCAAAGATTGCTGGTGAGTGACCTTGTTACAGGATTTCGTGCTAGACATTCCAAAACATATGTAGGTTACAAGAAATTGCCAGCGAGCCACCTTACAGTTGTGGACAGCCAAACACGACAATTTTAAGACATATTTCTAAAATGTCCGATATGTAACAGAATCAATCCGGATTGATGAGAGGGTATCTGTAAATAAATTTGAGGCAAATTCTTCGAACTGTTTACTCACAAAAGGTGATTTTCTGATCCAGAACCCCCTAAAATTTGGTGGACCCCCAAAAAGAGGTCTAAAAATCACGTAAAATGCGCCAATCGACTCCTTTTAAGTTCCTGTACATCATTCTGTTAAAAATTTGCCAAACATAACGATGGAAATTCAGCAAGAAATTACGCAAGTTGGCCGTTGTGACTTGAGCTCAAGACCAACAAATCATACATGGTACCTGATCTGTATGTTTGTGGCTGAAAAGTTCTGATTTTGATCTAAAAATTTGACGGATGCCAAAAATGCATGGAAAAAATACAAAGAAAGTGTTTTTGGATGTTTCTCGACACTCTGAGTCTGAATCTGTACTCAAAATCAAAAAGTAACGAGCTGTTCTGGGCGGAATAAATTTGTTTTATTCCTGCTATGACAGTAGTGGGTCTTACCATCTCATCTTGAACCAGTTTCCTACCAGAAATCAGCGGCACGTGAAATATGATGTTGTTCACGTGAATGCTCCACAGATGGTGCTTTCTTTCTGCTTAATTCCGCCCGCATCTTCCTGCTCTCATTCGCTCATCCATCTGTCCATCGTCACTCCTCTCTGTATCTCCAATGATGTCTCGTCTGCATGTCATTAACAGGGGGACTGAGCACACAAAGATCAACACCTTCAGAACCTCACCATGCTGCTTCAGCATGCGAGCATTCTGTAGTCTGCTTTTTGATGCGGGGGTCTTGTCGAGAGGTCAGTTTTTTCGAGTGGAGATAAAACTCTATTAGGAGTAGGCTTTTCGGACTTTGTAATTGTGTGTAATGTTCGTTCTGAGAGTTACGTTTACTGTGTATCCCCACCTTGCTTCTCCTGCCGCTGCCACTGCCACTGTTCTCGCTGCTAGTCTGTCATGCAGTGGAGCTACTCAGCCTCTACGACAACCCATGGATTCAACTAGGGCTGTGCACATGGATATGATACTCGGTGAGATCCAGAGATGCGGTTGGACAATCAGCTCCTTCCTGCTTGACCTCTTTACTCTGCCCCTGCGCTCTCAAAAGGACAAGGATATCGCGCCAGTATCCCAGCTCCATATCCAGATGGTCTCGAAATTTCTCCATGGAGAAATGAGCATGAAGGCCCATCATCATGCATACTTCCACCACTTCGCACGTCCACTGCCATCCAGATCAGGGCAGAATCGTTGCAATCCCTTGTGATACGCACGCTGTCGGTATCTACCAGGATAGTGTGCTAAGTTTTCGTCTTCACATTGTCATGGTTGTGAGCCTTTTCTCGGTGAGTGCTCGCAATCTTCATTTCATAATGTTCTACAAGATTATTGGTAGCTGGCTGTTTGCTCACACTGCACACATGGAATCTATGTGCTCGGAGGATACTTTTCAACTTTTGTAGACTTTCTCCGGAAGTGCAATCATATTGTAGATTATCAGAGTCTATTGGAGATTTGCTAGATGACATAGTAGAATGTACAGCTAAGGGAGTGACAACATAAGCGGGCAAAGAAGCAAAGCAAATGCAACATTGTGCTTTATTTATAGTCGCACGTGATGTCGGACTTCAATTTTTGCTGCCCTCCCGACAAGGGCCCCCCAATAAAAAGCAGACATCAGACAAGGATATCCAGAGCATTCCTGTGGAGGTTTGAAGGAATTGTCTCATCTGCCCATGGGAGACTAGCATTCTGCAGAGATCAGTCATGTTAGGTGTGCCTCGTAGTACACCGACAAAACTGGTGACAAACTCATAGAACTTTGAGCTCCTCGATACTTCTGCAATGATACTGTTGATCTCAGACTGGTCCTTTGTAAGGCTACAGAATACATCAGTATGGTATCGATGGAGAGATAAATGCATTTCAAATCCAGGAATCTGGTGATGGGTTGGGAGCAATCACTTCGTCGTATATATCCGGTGAGTACAAGTGACCAACATCAAGCAAAGCAATGGATGATACTGATAGATGGTTTCGGTAGACTTTTTAGGTAGAGAACTTGCGAGGCAAGAGCACATTGTCGGCGAATGGTGCATTAGGCCACAACATGAAGTGGACGCAGGGCTTAATTCACAGGACCGCTCCACTTCGAGGTGGACACCTTTCCTGTTTTGCTTCGTTCATCCATCCATCCGTCATCTGTGCTCAGTGAATCTCTCTCAGCGATGTCTTGTGTGCATGTTCGGCAACTACGCAGGTATTCCAGCATCTATCCTGGTCGACGCTTCTCTTTCGACATCAGTTGTTTCTTCCACGTTTGCGTGCTTGCACAACCTGCCGCATTCTGTGCACATTGAAAACCCTGTTGTACAGTCATCCGCCTCTGGACCAGTTCATGCACGTTCAAAGTCCGTCGTTTTCGATTTCTATCAGGTCCCTTGCATTCTTTGACATCGCTCTCAGTCGCGATTGGCTCTATTAGCGGTCGACATCATTGTCATACAATTCACCCTCCTTGATGCCATTGCTGTAGCCAGTGAAGTGCTTCGCTTGCTTCACCTGACGTCTATAGGCATCGTACACATTGTCCCATAACATTATTTATATGAACTATATATATCGCCCATGCTATAACTACAACAATCACCAGGAGATATACTGATATGATGGGAGGAATGAAACATGAAGAGGGAACACACAAAAAGAAGGCCACTGGCAGTCCGTGGCCATAAGAAGAGTCAGAGTAAATCAAATGACTTACCCTTATATGACCCGCCATGTCCACCGCCTGCGACCTGCTCATCGTAGCGGGCGCTGCCGGTACCAGCCCTATCATTATTTTTGTCGTGTTTGATCCATGACTGTACTTCCGAGGTAGAAATCCGGTGGAATCCGCCGACAGATTCTGCTGGAATCTGCACCATAGGTCGGACCTTCATCATGGAGCGATCACTTTAGGGCAGACGTGATCCCCCGATCACTAATTTTGGCGGAGAGCCTTTTTTTTTTTTTTTGATACAATTTATATACTGCCGAAGGCGGTCGGGGGTGTGTCTAGGTACAAGTTGGGCGTAGGACTACCTAAGTAGGAGTGTATCTAAAGGTGTGAACAGATCACGTCTGAGCTAGAACCTAACCAGGATCATAGAGAACAGATGCCTTGGTCCAGGCATCGCTATCCCGGAGGAAGGCAGCCAGAGTGGACCAAGCATCTTTATATCGGACGAACTTTAGCGCCCCCTTTGCAGGAGGTCAGGTATTCCCCAATTGGGGGTCTGACAGACGTGGTCCCACTCTGTGCTATGCCGGTCTGGGGTGTTCTAAGTCCTCACCCGGCATGGGCAGCTCGGATACAACTTGAGCTGGATGCCCCTAATTCTGGGGGAACCAACCGACGCAGGATATGTCCTCTCGAGCCAGACCAGGGAGACTGTCCCTCGACTGCTACGGCTCACCAGTGAGTTTTCACGTCACCAGTTTCCCGTTCCCAGACTAAGTGGTTCGATATACCTTTCCAAGAGGTTCGGATCCCCACTTAGGCTGAGTCTACGCCTTGCCAGCTGTGACCAGCCCAGGGGAGGGCCGGAGTCAAGCTGACTAACCGGGCTAGCATCCTCACGAATTCTGCTCCGCTAGCCCCTGGGTGCCCTGCGGAGAGCCTTGTGAGCTTCAAATCGACAAGACCCCCTACTATCGTAGCGGGAATAATTTCTCGACTATATTGTCTGGCGGCGCCCGCCATAGTAATAGGCCTGGTTTCTCGTACAATCCAATGTCACTGCACAAAAATCACTGTTTCACGAAGTGGAAAATGCATGAGATAGTCGCTCGAAAATGCCACAATTCTGACACCTTCTTGCACATTGGAAAGGCACATGAAAGGTTCACCTTTCCTAGACATTCACCTCCTGCATGATATAAACTTCAGTGGCTCCTGGAATTCCTATGAAATGCTACAGAATTGACAGCACTTCGCAAGGGTGGAAAGGATACCATTCCAAATTCTGAAAATGCTGAGAAAACTCATTGACATTTCCTGACACGGTGGCGCCACACGCGTCGGGCCGCCCACTGATCGCTCTGCTCCTCCCCTCGTTGTGCTTTCGTACGTCTTGTATGCCCGCCGCCTTGTCCTCGCTCTCCCCCCTCATCTTATCTATCGTCCTCTTCTGGGTATGCACCCACCTCTTGCACCGCCTCCTCGCACAGCGCACCCGATCTCTCCTTCCCACCACCGCCGCCCTTCGCATCACGTCTAACACCCTCCTCGCACAAACCACTGTCAACCTCCGCACCGCACACCTCGTCCTGCGCACGACCGCCCTCAACGTTTCGCATGCGCGGCTGTCTTCCTCTCTTTCACAAAAACGAAACAGACGCTCGCGGGAGGTGCTAAAACGGTGTTATGATGTCGGCAGCGTGCTGGGGGTGATTGGGATGGCGGTTGGCTTGGGACTGGTGGGTTGGACGGCGGTGCAGCTTGCGGGGGTGGTGGCAGCCAGCGGGCGCGGGGACGTGTCTGTGGCGGACGCGTACGAGCCGAAGACGGTGTTTGCGAAACGAGACGCGTTGCACGCGGATACAGGCATTAGGGCATCTGCGGACGCGCAGGTTCCGATACACGCGATTGTGAGTACTATGTGTCTTTCTTTACTTTTCGGCCTATGCATCTATGTTTCCTTCACGCTATTCCCTTCGCGCAACAAGCTCTATGACCTACGTTTCACGCTCTTTCGACGCGTTCGCCACCGCACACCCACTAACTCACACGCAGATCCCCGGCCTCACCACCCCCTTCTCACACGCCCCGCTCCTTCTCCTCGCCCTTCTCTTTGCACAACTCGTGCACGAAGCCGGACACGCGCTTGCCGCCGCGTTGTACGTCCTCTTTCTCTGTTTACTATCCCTTTGCACCATCCACATCCGAGTATATGCACGCCTCATCTACAGGGATTCGATCGTGACGGCATGTCGCAGGACAGATGCGTGACGTGGCCACCAGCGCATCTTGTCCTGCGGCCGCCACCTTCCACCTGCTCTCGCTAGAGCCCTGCATACACTTTCTGCCCACCCACTCTCTCCTTCTGGTCTCTTTTCATTTTGTTCTGTGATTCGTCACGCAGTGCGTGCCGGGCGGGCGTTCCTCGCGCTCTCCCTCGGTACACCCCAGGCACCCGGATCCCGTTTTGGAGTCCGGGACCAGGACGTTCCACGTCTCCACCACAGCACTGCTTTGATGAAGTATAGAGCAGCTCATCTACTCAGATATCCGCGTATACTCGAGGCACAGACAGCCTGGCACGAGTCCACCAGGAAGATACTGACATCCTGCCATGCTGCAGAGAACCCGTGCCTCTCCTCTCTGCCGGTCTGTCCCTCACGCTCGTCTTCCCTTCTGCCTTCGTGTTGCTCGCTCCCTTCTCCTCTCCCTCTCCTCCCTCGGGCACTTCACTTAGTTCAGAGCACATGACGCCGCCACCTACGGCGCGTCTCCGGCTCACTGCTGCAGGCGCGTTTCACAACCTCGTCCTCTGGCTCGTCCTCCTCCCGGCGCTCGGGCGCACTCTCTGGGGCATGTGTGGGTATCGCGAGGTAGGCGGATGGGCGCGGGTCGTCGTGTGTGTTGATGAGGTGAGTATATGCGCTCGTTTGAGACCTCGGGAGATTTAGCTGCATGTTAATGCCCTTCCGTTATATCTACCGCAGGACTCGCCGCTCGCGCCGCACCTCCCGCCTGGTGCGCTCATCACGTACGTCGACGACACGCCGCTCTCCTCCGCCTCTTCAGCCGGAGATGCGTGGAGCGCCCTCCTCTCGGCATATCCTGCGCAAGAAGACGCGCTCGGGTGGTGCGTCCCCCGTGCGTGGTTCGATGGTCCGTAGGTGCGTTCGAGGCGCCACGTACGAGCAGCGGCTGACGCGGGTTTCCATTGTTCTTCTGATTGCTGTGCTCATCGCCAATCTACGCACATATAGAGCAGCCTAATTCGTGCTGCCTCCCTCCATCTCAGTCTCATGCGGACTTGCAGGCCCAGCTCGCATGCTTCGTCTCGCAGGACGACGGGTCGGACACGGGACGATGTCTCGATCCACTTCCGCTGTTGTCTGCTCTTCCGAACCCGAAGGCGCCTCGTCGGTGCGCGAGTGCGTCTGCATGTGGCTCTGCGCATGAGTTTGCATGCGTGTGCCCCGGGAAAGAGGAACGGTTGGTCAGACTGCGAGTCGTGATGCCTGTGGGTGAGGAGGGGAGAGAACGTGTGGTGGTTTGGCAGGGTGAGAAGGAGGAGATCCTCGAGGAGGGTGAGTCCGATTTTTATATTTCGCGTGCTTTTTCGGTGTGCAGGTCTGTACCTGCGTGTAGCTCTCCTCCCCGACTTCACATGTCATGATGAACAATACACGCGTAAGTGCGCGATCCTGCTGTGTCATATGCTTCTGCTATTCCGTGCATGTGTCCGCATGCGCATACGTACCTATCATTCCTCTCACACCGAGCCTGAACACCTACATCTGACTCATCTCCTCTCACTTCGTTTAGTCGAAGTAAGCACCTACCTCCCACGCACGCGTCTCCTCCCATTACGGCTCCCACTCCTCGTCAACGCCTTCTTCACGTCAGCACACAGTTCCCTTGACTCGCCTATTGCCCTTCGCTAACTCCGCCGCAGGTATCTCCTCGCGCTCAGCCTCTCACTCTACGTATTCAACCTCCTGCCGCTCTCGTTCCTCGATGGCGGGCAGTTCCTCGACGCGCTGTTGGATCTCTTCTCTTCCTTCTCTTCGGTCACGTCAGGGTTCGGAGACGGTGACGTTGAGCTGGGAAGTGTTGGCGACCATATGCAGGGGACGGTCGTTGGTGAAGGTCGCGCCGAACACGGCCATGGGCGATGGAAGCGGCGTGTGCTGCGCACGGCGCACTGGGTATCGGCGGGGCTGGTTGGGGTGTGTGCGCTGTTGGGTACGGTGGCGGCACTCAGGTGATGTCGGCCCCTTACAAATGCGATTGTGAGTTGAACAATCCTTGGCTACCGTAGTTGCACCACTGTCCCAAGTTGATCGTATTGTAGTTACTTTGAAACCAACACCAATTAAGAGCATCCCTTCAGCAAGATACCGCGAGCATCTGCAGATATAGCCAGATCCGCATGCTAAGCTCAGCTTAGCGTTGCCGGCCTTTTGGCATGGTGGTTCTAGATGCCATTCACTCCAGGAGTTCCATTAGTGTGGCTTCACAGAATTAGCGAGTCGATACGTGACACGGATCAGCATATAACCTGAATAATATCAATCACATTTGAAACTGGCTTGCTGACAGTCCTGCATGAGAAGTGCAGGAACATTCTATAAGAAGTCGCTGTCGCCACCTGCCACGTCTCCGATTGTGGAATGAAACTTTTTCGGCCAGCATTCGAAGGACAGGCAGACTCCGTGCTCAACGTGTCCGCCGGCTTGACTCGCGACGTGCAGTCCACGCCCGCTTTTATAGCCCACCTCGACTTTGTGAGATGCGCACATGGACCTCAAACCTAACAACATACTCATCCCGAAGAGGTATGGCCGCCTGACAGTAGCCCATTCCGGGCTGTCTGCCCGCATCAAGGGTCATTATGCAACGCTGAACAAGTATAGAGGAACGACGGGATGCAGCGCCCCACAGATCAGCCATATGAGATTCGATCTGATCCGGGTTGACTTGTGGTCAGTCGAGTTGTGCACACTCGTGCCTGCAGTCGTGTGTACGCTCACTGCTTCACAACACCTTGTTCGCCATGAGCAACCGGCTGCGGCACAGTAACCTCAAGCTGTGATCGACGGTGAAGCCAAGTGTACTCGGGATACATGATCAAGAATGATATCAAAATGTTGCTTCAACGCTGGCTGGAACGAAATTCCGGTCTGAGCGCAGTGTCATGATTCTGAATACTAGTACTGAGAATATCTCACTATGCTGTTGTTTGAAACAATTTGGACTATAGCAGAATTCGGACAATATTGGGTGCATTGAAATAACATGGTGGTCCTTGCTCCCAGCGAGATAATCCTGCTGCCGAACCGTGCTTACGGGCCGTAACTCAACTCCTAACGTCTTTGGTCGGTTCCACTGTTCAATGCACTCTGAACGCCGAGTAACGGTTGCCTTAGACGCAGCCGGCGCATGGCCTAGCATGGATCAATTAATATTTATTGCATGGCGGCGTGCACTACATCATACAACATAATCAAGTTGCGATCAAAACGCCAACGGGACAGGATGCGGGATGGAAAGTCATGTACGAATCAAACTTTATGCGGAGGATCTCATGTTGTACTGCAAGACAATCATGAGCCGCCATTAAGGTCAGGAGAGAGGAACCAGCCATACCTGAACCATCATCGAGATGGGCCACTGAGTGACCTTCCCCTTGGAGTCCAAGTAAAGTTGCTCTTTCCTTCCGTCGACACTGTCAACAAACCTACGCCGCCTCAATCAGCACGTGAAACATAAAGCACGAAAATACGCGACTTACCGGTTGAGCTTGCCCATCGCCCCAGGAACGCGGGTCAACTCGTCGAGCGCAAAGATCGCGCGGAGGACTTGCACGGCAGTCTGCACAGAGCTTATCAGATCGAGCAATAAATGATGATTTACGCGGTGACTACCTTCACAAAGAACCTCGGGTCGGTCAGCCTGCACAAACAGCAGTCAGCTCTCAGTTTGACCGCGAGTGCACCTCACTCACCCCTGGTCAGGCGTCAGCAGACCACCGCGCGACACGCCGTTCTGTGGTACACGATCCGTCAGTTCGTGAACATGACAGCATCACCCGTACGCCAACACATACCGTCGAATCAGACACTAAGAGACCGACCCATCAACTAAAACTCGCAGAACACACAAACACACAGAAACTCACCAAACACCTGGAAGATCCCCTCCTCCACCTTCGCCTCGCCGGCCTTCCCAGCCGCCAACAGCTTCACAAGCTCCTGCTTCCTGCTCTCCTCCAAATAATAATCCACCACCTCCGCGAGCGCCCTCGAATACGGCGCCGCACTCCCAACAATCTCCACAAACACGCCTGCAGCGAGCGCATCGGCGCTCGCGCCTTTGCCCACGGCGAGCAGGGTCTTGAGGAACTCGCTGTCGCGCTCATTGTGCCCGACGACCCAATCGACGATATATGCCGCGAAACCGAGCAGCTGCAGATGCTTCGTGAGCATTAGGATTCATGATCTGATGTCACATACGAGGTGAATATACTTACAGAACCACCGCTGAGGCTTGAGAGGTGCCCCTTGGTAACCTCCATCACCGTACGCGCGACCTTCGTCGACTTGTCACGCAGCTCAAACTCCTGCGACGTGCTCGTACCCGGAGACAAGTAGCTTCACGAGCCATCAGCTATCCACATCACCACGTATGAAAGAACCTAGACCGACCTCGCAACGTCCGCAAACATCTTCACAAGCTCCTGCTCGCGGAACACGCCCTTCAAATTCGTCTCCGTTTTCATCGGTATCCCAGCCTACACCCATCCCCTCATCAGCCACATTGCACAGAATCATCGTCAACGCGTCCAGCACTCACAACGTCATTTGAAATCCAATACACAGGCACGAGGTTGACCACGTCCCTTATCACGTTCAAATACCGCGCTGGCGAGTCGACATGCTCGACCGACTTGTCCTTGATCAACCCCTGCGCGATCTGACCAAACGCCGCGGCATGTTTCTCAAGCACGGCATCCTCATACAACACCTTGTGGACCTGTGACGTCCAATATCATCAGCCTCCGTCATCGCACTCATTCCAAATAGCCACTTACCACCTCCCGATCAGGCACCACTCCATTCACCAGCGCATCCGCCTTCTTCTCCTCAATGACAGCCTGCACACCCGGTCCCCCGCGCACCGGCATCGACCGTTCCCACGTATACTTCTCTACGAGTCCCTGCTCCGGAAGCTTCTCCACATATCCCTTCATCGTCTTCGGTACCATGAACGGGAATGCAGCGTACGCTGAACCCGCGGGATAGTAGCCCGGCAGCGAGCGCGAGAGCAGCTTCCCAAGGATCCCGCCGAACGAGCCGTCGCGTTTGTCGTATTGCACATCATCGTAGCCCCACGTCGTCAAGTTGAACGCTGCGGATGAGGAAACATAAGTTGCATTTTTCATGTCAAGGTTTTGAGAACGACGCACGAGTGAGGTCCACGGTGAGGAAGCGATCCCCGCGCGTGAGGCAGACCGCGTCCGCGAGGATCGCGCGCGAGATCGTGTACCCCGGGCAGAGGCCCGCGCCAGGCATCGGGACCTTTGTCTGCTCCGCCTGTAACCCAACCTGTGCGACAAATCGCCCATCAGGACCCTCGTCGATGATTAAAAACAGAATAAGAGCGTGACGTACGTGCAGCTCCAAATTATCGATATCATGGTACAGCGCCTCGGCCGCTTTCTATCGACACACATATCAGCCTACAACACTGCCTTGAATGATTTGCCACTACTTACATAGACCTTCGGATCCGGGTTCCACTCCTCAAAGTTCTTATATGCTATCCCAACCACATCAGCCCTCCAGCGTGAAGTCATGCAGCAAGATCAGCACTCACGCGCAAGACCCATGAAGCTCCTAAACTCGTTCAGCGAGCACGTCCCCCAGCTACGTGCTTGGAGGATGCCGAGAACCTCCACGATGCGCAGCGCCTCGGGGATTCCGCGCGCCTTGAATGCGCTCGCAGGCGCCTCCGTTGCACTGTGTAGGATGTTCGCCAGGTCCGCTGCAAGGAAATGGAAGGTCAGCCACCCAGCGGATACTCGCTCGCGGGAGGACACGCACCATCGCTATATCTCCCATCCGGGCCCCGCTTAAGTCTATACATACAACTCATCAAGATCCTCTTCACACCAGAAGATCAAATCGGCACTCACTTATCAAACGTCCATTCCTTCACATCCTGCGACTGCCCCATGACATACTTCGTCACCGCCTTCCTAAAGTCGTCCACCGTAATCTACGTGATCCGTCGTTAGCCTGCATCGTTCATGATCCAAGGATGAGTCAGAGCTACGTACCTGGTCGTACGGCTTCCCCTCAAACAAATCCTTGAACAGGTTGTCCGTCCAAACGGTATCCGGTTGCGAGACCGTCGCGTGCCACCTGTACATCAAGTTGAACTCGACCGAAACGACGTTCCCCTCGCCCAGAGGCGTCCACTCGTGAGTCAACTCACGCATCGCCTGTCCCCGCATCAGTCCAGTTTCACGGTTAATCACTCAAAAGGAAACCGCACCTCAAGCGGGTTGAGCCGCCAACCCAGTCCGTCCCTCGTTAGACCGAGGATCGCACCGACATAGTCGCCCAGGATCACCTACGCGCATATATCAGACCCAGCCTCTCGGGTCCAGCGATTGACGCCATACGCACCTGCATGAAGAACGCACAGTTCACCAACCTCGCGCGCTGGAAGATCTCCTCGTCCTGCGCCGCTCGCTTCTGCGCGCTCAGGCTCTCGGGCGATGCATACGTACCGAGCTCGTTGATCGCCAGAATGCGCTCTGCGACGTACTGCACACGATCAGCACGTTCTATCATCCGGAGAGAAGAAGAGAATCCGGCGCACGTTATGGTTCCTACAGAACAGCACGAGCAGTGCACCCGCCGCGGGGGGCATGAACAACAGGCGCGCGTCCGCAAACACGTCCTCCCACAGACGGCCCGTGCCGTCATGTCCTGCATGCGCATCTCCAATCAGCATCACGTACGAAGAGGCGGGGAGGCACACGGCACTCACGGCGGACAGCATCAACCTGCTGCTGGGACGAGCCGTAGAGCGGGCTGAGATCGAGGTAGCTGCTCGCGTCGTTGACCGTCCAGTCGCGCGTGTTGGTGTTGAAGATGCTGTGAATCACGAGGTCCGCGAACGCAAAGAACAGGCTCGAGACGCCGCCTGCGGGCACGCGCGTCAGGACCCTGTCTCGCATCAGATGTCACCGCGACTCACCCGGGTGCTCGACAAACTGGTCGCGCTTGAGGAGCGTGTCGAAGACGAGGCCCGGGTCGGGGAGGTACTGAGGGGGAATGAAGTTGACACTGGGTACGGAGCGCGCGTAGGGGGTGCCGGCCTTGCCGAGCGCCGGGGAGAGGACGTTGTAGTTGCTCCCGTCCACGCTGCGGTACGCGTACTTGACGCCCTGGAGCAGGGACGGTGCGGAGGGTGGAGCGCTGGCAAGGACGGAGAGGAAGCCGGCGGGCGGGTGCGGGAGGTCCTTGTAGACTGTATGCGCGGGTATGTGTCAGTTAGAGCATGAACATGAAGGAATGTGCTGAGCACGCACGGATGTCCATGGCAGCCTGCTGGAGGCGGGCAGCAAAGACGGAGTCGTCGGGAGAGCGTGCCATGACGGTGAGGAGCTTCTCGAGCTGAGGGAGCGTCAGCACCGATGACAGAGACGAACGAGCGAGGACACTCACCAGGAAGAGACGGTCGTTGATGCCGGGTCCCTGGATGTTTTTCACAGCATTGATGAACGCGGGCTACGAGGCGGGTCAGCGGTCCTGTCCTGCGAAGAGAGTGGATGGACGGGCTCACGAGGTCATCGAGGGAGAAACGCTTGCCGCGGATGAGGCTCTGCTCGATGTCAGTCACCTCGCGTGCGAGGAAGGGATGTGTCGGCCGCGCGCCGTCGAGGTCGAGAGGCGCGTCGGCGTCGGCGGCATAGTCTGCAAGGTCCTTGACGGGGTTGAGGATGGGGTTCGCGTCTACCTTCATCGTGCAGGTGTATGCGGGAAAGGGAAGTGGATTGCAGGAATGGGGAGAGGCCGGGGTATATAAGGGACCGCGAGGCGGGGGAGATGGGCGTCATGAGTGAAAGGCAGTGTGGCTTGCTGTACGGTCGGACATCTTCCCTGAATATGCGATCGAGATGGTTAATGTCACTTTGAGGTCCAATAGGAACTGTCCAAATAGACACATCAGCATTCTGCTCCGAGCGATCGCCCACGTCCCTGACTTGCAGCAATTCATCCACCCAGTGTCACATCTCCGTAAAGTTTCATTAAACCGCAGACCAAGCACGGCGCCGACCTTCAAACTCAAATCGCAGCCCGGACTCGGAGCGCCCACCTCGGCGCCCATCACCACCGCCTCTGCGCTCGGCGTCCAACGCACCGCAATGCCGTCATTGCTTCTCGTCTGATGATCTCGGCTGTTCCTGGTATGTCCATTGCCGTTCCTCGAAATACATCAGAGCTCGTACCCTGCCCTCATCCGTACCTCCGAGCATCCCACAATGTATCTATGCGAGCCATGACCGTCGTAGTCAGCCTGCGCACTCACCCTCCACAGCCCGGGTATCCAATCCAACCAACCTCCACGTCCTGCCACGTACAAAGCGGTCCCGAAACACTCGCGACCCGCATCAGCACCGACACCATCACGGCGCGCATCACCCCGATGTCTACCAGCGCACTCGGGCGCCCTCCCAACATCGAGCGCTCACATCAGCACGCAGCACGAGTTTTGCTGTGGCTCCATCAGCGTGAAGAAGACCACGATGACGCGCGCGGACACGCACCTTCTTCGCCGTCTTGTAAAACATCTTGCTCTGCGTGCTCAACGCGTTCGACCGGTCCACCAGGTCGTTGATCTTCTCCCCCCGCGCGAGCACCGATTCGATCGTCTTGTGCTAAGCGTGCGTCAGCGTCAAGAACGAGGAACCTAGCAACGACCACTCACTAGAATAATCTTCGTCTCGTCGAGTTCCTGCTGCACCCGCATGATCGCATCCGCCTGCCGCGGATCCTGATACTTCTGCAGATACGTGTTGATCTCCGGAAAGCTGATCGCCGCTGGGGTGCTGTACGTCGTCGCGGGCACCTTCGCCACAAAGTCCTCTAGGAGCTTCGTGAGCAGGGAGAACGCCGGTCGGACGGGGTATTCAGAGTCGGTGACGATCACCGCTGCCCAGCACACGTCCATCTTAGCGTTATTTTAGATTAAAGATAGAGGAGCCGCACCAGCCAACTGCTCTGCGCCTCCGCGATTGTACACGTGCGCGGTATATTGGTTCTCCTGCACGCTCTGCCGTTGCCCGGAAGGTGTGCGCTCGACGATGGTCTTGGCGAAGAACTGCATGAACTCGCCGACGGAGGGGCGCTGGTAGAAGGAGAAGGAGGAGAGGTCCGTCGCGGAGGTGAGAACGGTGGAGGACTGTGAGGACGGGGCGAGGAAGATGGAGAGCGCGAAGATCTTCATGGCGGCGGCGTTGTTGGATGCTCGTATGGGCGGGTATGTGCGAGTGGATCGAGGTGGTGAGGAGGGCGGGACGATGAACGTGGACGGCGGTGATGAGGATGGGGACGGTGATGCGATGCGCTGATGTGGCGCGGGTGCCTGGTGGCGGCGGGCTACAGCGTGACGAGTCGCGCGTGCGCGTGACGGTGACCCACCCGCGACGCGTCGCGTCGAGCCACTGATCGCTCCTTCTTCGCCTCATGCTTACCGCCTTACCTCGCTGATCGCCCTGCGCGCGTGATTTGTTTCCATTCTTTCATGAAAGCGAAGTAGGCTCGTGAAGATGGTGCTGATATGGCCCTGCAATGTAGGCAGTGTGCATTTGATGCTGGGGATGGCTGGTGAGTACTATATGGCTGGTGGATTGAATGATTGTGAAGTTCGGGTGTGTTGTGGTAGAGAAGACGAACACGGAAACGAGGTTGAAAGCGAGGGAAGGCTCGGAAAGAGGAAAGCGTTGGATGGCGATGCAGGATGCGCAGATACCCAACCAGGCGATCGTGAGTGCTAAGTGTCCTTTTGCCTATTCGTTGCGTTCGCTTCCTTGAAAAAAGTTCAATACGCTGTACACACAGCTCTCCTTCTGTAATTTATATGTTTTCGGGTACTGTCTATGCTATTTTCGTTTTGTCAATGCTCCTCAGCGGCTTCGCTGTGCCCTTCTCGCACGCCCCACTCCTCTCTTCGCTCTTCTCCTCGCATACCTCATGCATGCAGCCTGGAACGTGCTCTCCGCGGCGTTGTATGTCTCTCTTTCCACCCGCTCCTAGCACTGGCATGATCTCTATCTGAGTATATGCGCATCTTCTCATCTCGAACCCTCTTCGATGTCGATATTTTGGCTCAAATTCGCGCAGGGAGCGCTCTTCCCCCGCCTCCGACGGCCTATTCCTCACGGTCGTGATCCCGACCTATTTCATTGCACTCATGTCTCTTCTTCTTCTGCCTCCCCCTCCGCCATATCTGTTTATCTTCTTCTGCCTCCCCCTCCGTCCATCCCACCGTCACCTCGCTGAGTTTGGAAAACATAACGCTACCACTCGTGACTCACCAACACGGGCGCGTTCCACAACCTCCTCCTCTGGCTGGCGCTCTCCCAGCCGTTTGAGAGTATGGCTCTTGATCCTACATGGCTGCTCAATCGGTCCTGGAAATATACTTGGGTCGACGCGGCTATATGAGCCTATATCTAACCATGCCAGAAAGGACGAGGCATATTGTCTCTGTGGCGACCAATACGATCTTGATCAATGTCAAAGTTGGGATTACTGATGGTTATATCAGTAATGGGTCAAGACGTATTGGTGACGATTGGCCCTCCCTCTTGCAGGCTGGCCTTAGCGATGGAGTAGGTACCACCGTGATCAATCCGGGCAATTCAAGTCAAACCTACTCTTTCTCTCGAGGCCATTGTGTTCTCGTTGATATCGATCCCAGCACAACGAGTGACACCATTGTTGGCGGGCCAGGAGGAAAGAAAGGCTTTTGTACGGATGTCCGTTCAATCTATTCAGCTTTATTGAACTTTCGGGCACATTCTCGAACATTTGTGTAAGTCTATATGCCAGTTATGCTGCTGTGCTTGACATTTCGACAGAATATCAATGCTGCGGGTAGCTTCCTTGCTATGTAGGCTCGAAGTTGCAAATGTCTAATATAGCGTAAGCTCCAAGATCGTATTGATGACGGGTTTACGAATACATGGCTACGTCCCAAGCCGTTTTGCCATCTATCTTCAGCTGTTGAAATGTGCGCTCTTTTCCGTCAGCCTTCGTATTGAAATCAATTACTTTGTCACATTTCAAAGCAGTTGATTTCGAAGGTCGAGCTGAAGAGCTAACATATTCTCAAAGAATACTTCCCGTCTTCACACAAAGTGACAAATTCCCATGCTCCTGCAAGGAAAAATCAAGGATCTGGCCTATGAACACCCCTTTTACAGATGTACTTGGCAATATACGCGTTCGCATGCCCCCAGTGGTATCTGAACAGTAAGTGGCGAGCTGCATAAGCAATGGAAACGATGTGGGCCATTGACGGTTGGATCGTAGGTCCACAAGGCGCTATACGAGCCAGGCCCACTAGAGCATGACGCAGCGTCGATGGGCGAGATAGCGTGGAAGCTGATCGTGGCCAAATCGGTCGTGCACATTACAAAGGTCAGTTCTTGTTTGTGGATGCAGTTCACGCCGCAAACTCTTTAATTATCCATTGAGAGGGACACATGGCTGACAATCACACTTGTGCGTGACGCTATGGCCATCATTGATATCAATATGAGAACTGCGCTGCCGTCACAATAGCATGCAGAAGTCGACCGGTGCATCACACGTACGGCGCCCCGTCGACGCGTCCCCAGAGGTAAGTGACTTTGAGTGGCCTAGAATACGCAGCTCATGTAGGGGTTTGGGGAGCATTCACCTCGGCTTATCGGCCCGTCTCATTCAGAAGTGTTGGGGTGACCTCAGTGAGATAATGTGCAGACGAACGAAGTGAAGGCAGCCTCGAGGTTTCCTGCACCATACCTCGCGGCAGCATTATCTGCACCCCTTCACCTTCCGCCATGCACCCATCGATTATCTCCTGAGGCTTCCTTCCACATGGCCCATCCGCATTATAAATCCCCGTCGCGTTCGCATCGCCATCCATCGCTCTAGTTGCTCATCCCACAGAATGAAGACGAACGCCATCCTCAGCCCCCGTAAGGACACTGATGACTACATCGTCGGTGTCAATGCTCCTTTCGATCCGTACGGAGTTCGTTCCGCCGATCGCTCCCTCACTCGTAGCGTCAGAGACGTTGTACAGAATCTCATGAGATTCAGGTTCTTCTCTCTCGCGGATATCGTGCGTGCGCATCGTGAACGAGTGGTTGCCTGCGCTGAAACAACCATCTCGTGCAGCGCGCAATATTAAATGTCGCTCAAAACATCCTCGGCCATGGCCCGGGCATCGACGACCGGCTCTATTTCGTCAGTCGACTCATTCTTGTCGTCCATACAAGCGAAAACTGATGATGCTGTGCTTTTTTGTCCATAGCTTGAAAGACTCCTCATCTTCATCGCCCGCTCCCCCGACAACTTTGCTATTGCCCGCAATCTTCAGCTTGATGTCATCAACATTTGTGCGTGCCACTCCCCTCTCTTTCTCGTTGGTCAACTGATTTATTTCTCTCGGAAGTGTTCAAGGACCTCCAGAGTCCGCCCGTGAACTTTCTTGCTATTCCTTCCGTCGTGCCTTCCCCAATCGAGTTCGTCAACTACGCGTACCGCACCGCCGACGGTAGCAATTACAATGTGCTCATGCCGACTCTCGGCATGGCGGGCTCGCCTTATGTGCGCTCGGTGCCGGGTACGACTCCAATCCCGCAGCATCATCTCCCTGAACCCGAGCTCGTTTTCAATATGCTGTTGAGACGCGACGGTTTTGTAGAGCACCCGGGTGCGCCGCATTTGATCTTGCACATGAGCCAAAGCTGACGAAGGTCGCAGGAGGGCTCTCGAGCTTATTCTTCTCATTCGCGAACCTCATCATCCACAGCATCTTCCACACGAATCCGCGCGACTGGACGATTAACGACGCGAGCAGCTACCTTGATCTCAGCCCGCTTTACGGCAGCAATCAGGAGCAGGTTGACAGCGTCCGCCGTGAGTGCCGCGGTCTTATTATTGCAAAATGTGTCGCGAGATGTTGTTAATGGCTGCGCTACAGGCAAGGATGGCACGGGACGCCTGTGGGAGGATGTGTTCGCTGACGCTCGCCTGCTGCTCATGCCCCCCTCTACCGGAGCGTTGCTCGTGCTCTTTTGCCGTAACCACAATGCGAGTGCTCATTCAGTATCTCCTCCGCTTCCGCCTTAACTAGTTCCCATAGTATGTCGCAGAGCGCATCCGCGCAATCAATGAATTCCGCACGTATGCCGATCCCGCCACGCTCGACGAAAAGGGACGCGCGGCACAGGACGATGAAATCTTCCAACGCGCGCGACTTGTGAACACTGCGTTTTTTATGCAGGTAAATGCACGAGCGCCGTTTTTCAAAAGTGAGCCCGAGCTGATGTTCGCTAGGTGATCCTGGGCGACTACGTAGGCGCGATCCTTGGCCTGACTCGGGACGGGTTGACCTGGCGGCTGGATCCGCTCCAGGTACGCGTGCTGTCCCTCGAATTGCGTGCAACTGTTCTGACGTTGGAGCGGGGCAGGCGATGCGCGAGCCGACCCACGAGTGGATACCGCGCGGAGACGGGAACGTTGTGTCGATCGAGTTTAATCTCATGTATCGTTGGCACATGGCGATCTCGAAGGAGGACAGGGACTGGACGGATGACCTGTTTCACCAGATGTTCCCAGGAATGGATTTCGATCAGGTGAGAGCGCCCGTTATTCATGCCATCCTGTCCAGCTGTGGTGAGGGGGAACATAGCCGACCACGAATCATGCATCTAGATTACGGTGGAGGACTTTTGGAAGGCGGTGCGGGAGTATCGCGAGAGGCTTCCGACGGATCTGCGCGAGTGGACATTTAGCGGGTGAGTGACTGCGTAGTATTCATCGTCCGCGGTTGCTGGTCCAAATCACATTGCATTTATCATCCTGGATCTACAGACTTCAGCGCGACGCGAGCGGACGATACAATGATGGTGAGATCTTCATCGTCTCTTTTTCGAGCCGGGATAACTCTGATAGCTGTTGCACTGTACACACAGCGGATCTCGCCCACATCTTACAGAGCGCGACGGAGGCTCCAGCGGGCGCGTTCAGAGCACGCGGGATCCCTGAAGCGTTACGCGTCGTCGAGATCCTCGGCATCCTTCAGGCGCGCAGCTGGGGAACGTGCTCGCTTAACGAGTTTCGAAGCTTCATGGGCTTGCGGCGTACGTTTTCGACCCTCTGAAAGAGGTCAATGTGTCGATGTTAACTCTGCGCGGACAGCGTACAGATCCTTTAAGGAGTGGAACCCCGATCCAAAGGTTTATGTAAGTCCCATCGGGTGTAGGAGAGTAATGGACCATTGCTGATGCATCGGTGGAATAGATGGCAGCAGAGAAGCTGTACCACAATATCGACAACTTGGAACTCTATGTGGGTGCAACATATTGACTACTTAGGTAGCTGATGTTTTGACGCGTGTGTGAAAGGTCGGCATGCAGGCGGAGGAGACCAAGGTGCCGATGCCTGGCGCGGGCCTGTGCCCCGGGTTCACGATGTCTCGCGCGATCCTCGCGGATGCGGTGTGCCTCACGCGCGGGGACCGATTCCTCACCGTCGATTTGACGCGTGAGTCTCTGCCGTAGCTCAACGTGCCCGATGACTTACAGAAAGCAGCGTTCAACCTGACGACGTGGGGCTTCCAGGACGTTCAGGTCAATGGACTTGACGGCTCGTGTGGCGGGATCTTGTCCAGGCTACTCATACGCACGCTCCCCGCATGCTATTCTGCGAGCTCTGCATACACGCTCTTCCCATTCATGGTGCCGAAGAGGATGAAGGAATATGTGACGAAATGGCCAGGGAGCCCGGTTGATCAGTATTTGTGGACGCGGCAGGAAAGCCTGACGAATGGGATCCGGAAGGAGTTGGGAGTGGAAAAGATGGCGCAGCGAATCCTGGGAGTGCTGCCGGATCGGCAGTCGGTAAGCTTGTGAATCGTGCAAACAAATGTGGGCCACTGACGGTGGGATTTATAGGTCCACAAGGCGCTATACGAGCCAGGCGCACTGGAGCGTCACGCAGCGTCATTTGGCAAGATCACGCGGAGTCTGATCGTGGCCAAATCGGTCGTGCATGCTAACCTAGCGATGCGCTATGTGAATGTCGTAAAGGACGTCGTCAATCTTATCCCGGTGTATTGGATCGCGAAATATGCAGTGAGTCCGCGCGCCTCCATGCGTTGTTATAGCAAACGCTCAGATATCGATGTGTGCGTAGACCGGAATACCAATGAAGACAGAGGCGAACCCACAGGGCTTCTTCGGCGAGCAGGAACTAGTGCACATGTTTGCGGACGTTGCAAGGTGAGGCGGAATTTGACCCCGGTTGACGTTGTGGTCAATGGCATTTACGCAGCTACTTATCCCCGGATATCAACACATCGGAGGAATTTGAGCTGCGCGAGAAATATCTCAAGATAGCGCAAGTGGTGACGGATGTCGTCAAATTCCACCTCTCACAGTTTGAAAGCGGCTCAGTGAGCACGTTCACATCAATGCTGACCTGGATGTTAATCAAAGGTGCACTCACAGCCGCTCGGCACACCTGGTCGGGCCGCAGACCATTACGAGCACGACCGCAAGTTCCTCACAGCCCTGCGCGCCTCGGGAAAGCATGCGGGCTATGACGCTCTCGCTGCAGGCGTGTTTGTGGAGATCGTGGCGAGCGCGGCACCGTATTCGCGTGCGCTTGCGCATGTGGTGGATTATTTCTTGGAAGAAGGGGAGAGAGAGGAGTTGGTGAGATGGTTGGCGGCTGGGAAGGAGGGTGAGGCGCAGGTGGAGGAGGGGATCTTCCGAGCTTTGGGTGAGTGTTTGAATGGGTGTGGCTAATCTGTGGTGCTTCGATTGACGCGTGTCTGCTTTCAGGTTCTGATCAGACGGTATGTGAATGGCATACATGCGCGCTATGACCGTGGTTCTGATCCAAACAATTCATTATCATAGAATGGCGTGCCCAAGTCGAATGGCATCTCTCACAGCGCATTGCTGCTAAACAAGCAAGGGTGATTATCGATTGGTTGCTGTCAGCACCGAGAGCTTACATCTCCGTTGCCTATTGTAGGCTTGTCAAGCCTATATTCTTCGTCAAAGTAATCTCACTCCATAGATCTCTCCAAATTGTCGTCGTGACTTGCTTCATGCAGACTGCCGCCGAGGTCCTTCGTGCAATTTTCGCCTTGGACGGGTTGCGACGTGTACCTGGTGTGAAGGGCATTCTCAACCAGTCAGTCAGAACATATCTGCTCATCAGTAGCATGTATGAACTGATTTTCACCTCAGACTTTCCGATAGCATGGACGGAAGGCAAGAACACTTCTACCTGGACACCGAGGGCAAGGTCACTGAGTGGCCCGTCTCGATGACGGTGCAGGTGTGCAGGCCTCCCCAATCGTTACGCTGAGGAGACTGATGAAGTTCTGCAGTACATCGTCCATTGAATAGAGTAAATGCTTGATTGTACCTCAGCATCCTGTCCCTGTCATTGCTGTAACACTAGAGATCAAGGTTGTATCGGATTCATGACACGGCTGTCAGATATATATACATTTTGTACAATACAACTAGCGGCCCCGCCGTACTTTGTCTTCGATGAAAGGTCAAGGTCCGTCGAATCCAGCACGCTCGCTATGGTCTACTGCAAGTTGCACCAGGTCCGGACTGCGTCCCCACCGCGCAATTAGTATCGAAGTCGTCCAAAACATCCTCGGCCATGGCCCCCGCGATAAAGACACTAGTTGAAACATTTCCGTAGCCCACATACGCGAAGGCCGGTGATGGTTTCCCCATATATGGCTAGAAAATCTTATCGAAGAGGCCTTTAATAAGCTGCATTCTGAATCTGATGCTAGCGGAAGCACCTCACAGACGGTCGACGTCGACGAACGCTGAGTATGTCGATGACGGCAAGCGACGGAGAAGCGGGGAAGAATGTCTGGAGAGGAAGATTATACCAAGTCCGCGAGCTACTAGAATGTGAGCACAATAGGCAAGAAGGGCTTGAAGTCCGATGTTTTGCCCGCGCTGTTGGAGAGAAGTTTCGTGCATCTTTCGCAGATTTCGTGCTTATAGCTCCGCGTTGCCCAGGTTCAACTTCGTCAACGTTCAACCCCTTCCCTAACGCTCAGTACTCAGTGCTCACACGCAATGAACATTGACGTAAACGACATCCTCTCTCCACCTCGGCACGGCGTCAACTATCCCGCCGCAGCCTTCGACGCCAGGGGCGCCGGCAACATAACCGAGACTGGCCAGCACTTCATCCTTGGAGAGCGTATCCGCCAGATGGCCTGGTGCATGCCAAAGGCTCGTGGTGTGAGTGGCACTAATGCAACAATTGCGTGCAGCCCGTCACGGCCTCCACCGACACCGCGAGCAGCCTTGCTGTCCTGGACGTCCTTTACCTCGTTAGTCAGTGCACCTGGTATGCCTAGATGTATCAGGGATGAGCATTTCTTCACGTCCGCACACGGCCTAAAAAGCTGTTCGACATCATCAACAGGCAAACCTACTTGCGCGTGTGATTAGTCTACTCACTGGCTTGTCTTGAAAGTTTGTTGACCCTGTCAACGGAAAGCGAGAGCGGCTCTACCTCAAATTGAACGATAGAATTACTGAGTGAGCTCTCTCGATATTGGTGCAGGCACGACAATCCTTCCAGCTGCATGGAGTGGTACTGATAATACATCCCGCAGTACAACGTGAACTAAGTGGGATCAAAATGAGATCTCACCTCATGAGGTTCGAATGCCGAGTTCACTTTTCATAATGCCAGAAAACCATGTTTTGAGATGACTGTAGTATACCGAGTTCATGATCAGTCCATTGTGTGAATGCCACGACAAGTCACTCGCAAGCCATAGTCTAACACTCTAGTGTAGTCAGAGTACATTGAGGGCGAAGCTGACAATCTCTACTGAGTCTTTTTCTCAGCTTCTTCGGCCTTCTGCTGGCGCTCCTCTTTTTTCCTCCTGGCATCGCGGCGTTCTCTCCCTCGAGTGATCATCGCTTTCGGTTGGATGTCAGCAAACAAGTACTTGCACACCGCCTCGATTAGCCAGCAGCCGGCAAAGTCGATGATCATTGTGGTCGCCAACCTGAACTCAAACTGCGCACACAGTGTAAGCGATCGAACACAACCTCTGAAAAGAACAACTCGCCGCTCCGCTCATCTCGACAATCTGCAGCCAACGATTCAGCTCGGGCACAAAGTCGGTCGCCCCGGAGAATGCAACCGCGCTGGCTCCAACTAACCCCCAGTAGAGAGCGGGATTCTCTCGGATACTCTCTCTGAACGGCCGGCCCTAAAACACGAAGAAATAAGCAGCATTGGCTAATTCGACGAGTGCATGCATACCTGATAATTGATTGCAAAGGTGGAGACTTGCTGAGACAAGCTCAACAGGTAGATCGCAGTGTTCAAGAGGTTCGGTTCAAACTTGGCCTCGAGATCAATGGGTCCTGGCCTATTCGATCGGAGGTAAAGAGTCAATGCACGCGGAGGTTAACACAAGAAGACGCACTCTTCATATTGACGACATAGCTGAGTGATATATACCAGCGCTGCGATGTGCAATGCGAACTGAAGGAGGACCGACAAAAGAACGTATAGATTAAAGATGTTTCCTAAAGGCCGTTCCCTTGACAATTTCTCTACTGGCTGTGAAGGGCTCATTGAGGCACGGTGGGTAGAATGAAGGACTTCGGGAGCGCACCTTCGCACGGGAGATACATAGGAAGCATACGGACATTAGCATGCCTGTAATCGTAACCTGATAATCTCCAAATTTGATTCCGTCTAGATATTGCACGCTAAGGCTGTACGCAGTGATAAGACAGTTGAGGGCGAGGATCTTGTACATCTGAATGGTGGCGACAAGGGTGCAGCGCCCTTGTCGAATAATGTGCGCGACTAGCAAGAAATCTGATCAGCAGCGATCGTGGAAACCGCGCATGAGCACTCACTAGCGGATACATTGGAAAGTTTTGAAGTGAAGGGAGCAGCACAGGACGCATCCCCCAGCTTGATTTTGGGCACTTCTTCCTCATCTTCCATGGCTGCAAGCTTGTCAGTGATACTCGCCAGATCAAACTAGTCGTACCTTATGTTAGCGATACTGACGAGACTAATCAAGGTAGAACGAACCTTCTCCATCGGATTCCGCTTCCTCGCGCTTTGAAAGTCGGTGACAACCTGCTTCTGAGCTTCGACAACGTCAGGGTACAAATGAGCAATCGCGGCCGGGACGGGGGGTGGAGGCTGTCCGAAACGCGATGAGATCTTCAGCTGACTCTCGTACACCTTCTTGATACGCTCTATCTTCTGATGCTCGGCGATCTTCTGCAGATCCTCGGGAGTACCGTCAAGGAGGGCAACACCGATATGTGCTTGCTTCAACGCCCCGACGTCGTTCGTTCCATCACCCGCCATCAAGGTGGTGTACCCAAGCGATTTGAAAGAGGTCAGAATGGTTTCCTTCTGAGAAGGCGATACTCTGGCATAGACCCAGGTATTCTGTATGAGGTCGGTCCAGCCCGGATGATTCTCGAAAAGCCTCAGCGCAGCTCCCGTGACGCATATGTCGTACCGCTCAAAGAGAGACGTATCGAGAGGCTCAGAAGCGTTGATCGGAATGATCGTCGTCTCATCAACTGTGCGCCAGACAAGATCTGTACGTTTTGTGTCAAATATAGTGAATTGTGTGAAACCTTGTAGATTACCAGCATCATGTTCCGGATTTTCCTTCAAATCAAGAATGAGGACGTCACGGTCGACAATTTCCACGTCGCGAGCGACATGCGCAGCAGTCAGCGGGTTATCTCCGGTGATCATGATGCACTGGTTAGAGGAAAGGAAGCATCATCAGTCAACGAATGAAGCGAGCGAGAGTCATTTATGCATACTCTGTGCGATGAGTCAATGAGCATTTTGAGCGTCTCGACTGCATCGGCCTTCAGCGGACAGTGAAACACCAGGAAACCAGCGAAAGTCAGGGTACTCTCGACTTGACCACGCGTTAATTTGTTGATCTGCAATCAACACAGGTAGAGGATTTTGTTAAAGAATGATTATAGGAAAGATCACGAGCACGAACCTTGTCCTGTGACATTGACTCCAGCTCCTTGTACCCAAGTGCCAAAACGCGGCTTCCGCGGCGCGTATACCACTTGTATGTGTCATCGTAGAACTCCGGCACAGTGGAGAGCATGCTCCTGATGGTTTCTGGTGCACCCTTAGCGGCCATGAACGTCTTACCACCATTCACGCTGGAGACGGTTGACATTCGCTTGAGCGCAGAGGAGAATTGAAAGCGCCGACGAATGGTAAGAGAGCTCCTATCACCCGGCTCAGCACTGGAGACGATGTCTCCTACCAAACATGATGGTCAGACTGAGCTGGAAGGGTGATCTTTCGGGCTTACCTCTGCTGAGCTGCCAGTTGAGCGCATCCAAAGTTGCCGTTTCCATGGGATCACCAGCAATGGTGCCATCATCCAGTTTAACGAGCGCATGCGCAGCAGCCAAGGCAAACTTTGTCTCTTTGCGGATGCTCTTCACCTCCACTAACTTAGTTCGATCTGATGAGCTGAGATGAAGGTCAGGGAGCCAAATCTCTGTGAGACGTCTCATGTAACGCACTCAACGCCGACAATACCCTCGAGCACAAGGTTCTCCGCCGTGATCGTTCCGGTCTTGTCGAAGCAGCAGACATCTACACGACCTGCATAAGGAATACGGAATGGCTCCGTGCAGAAGATGGCTGGTCACGTGAGCGTCTTCAAAAGCAATAAAGCGGACGGTTGAGACATACCGAATTTCGACAGTGATACCAGAGAAGCATTGACAGCGAGTGACAACTCCATTGGCAACTCGGGAGGTACGACACTTGTGATGATGAGAACACAATCGAGCAGCAACTTCGACTTCTTCAACTCCCGTTCAATGCCTGCGGGATGCGTTGCGTTAATGAGACACCAGCTAGGATTGATGCGTACTTACCCTTCACCCAGACATACCAGCTGGCCGCAATGGCGAAGATCAACAAAAACCCGATGAAGAGGAACGACTCAAAGTTGTTCGCGGAGACACGCTCCGTGGAGAAAATCATTGTGCGTACCAACTGGCCTTGCGCGGTGCCGAAGCCAGTGCGCAAGACGACCCCAAGGCAACCCCCATCAGGAGTCTCTCCTACACAACGACGTTCAGTGATCAGGACGACTACAGATGAAAATTGCTGACCGCCATCAGCTTGCAACAGTTTGGTTCCACTGAAGAGTACATGGTTCTTGTGCGAAGCATCCACGTCAAGTCGTTCGCCGTCATCAAGCAATGCGACGGACTCCTTCAGGAGAGGCGTAGACTCCCCCGAAAGCATGGCTTCGTTGACGATACACGTGCCGCGGATTAGCAGGATGTCCGCTGGTATGTTCGTCTCTGTCTGATGTCTGACTGTAATGACTCAATGGAACGCCCGGTGGCGACCGAGGAGAAACCACGCTCACCTACGGAGACGATGTCACCCGGCAGCAACTCATCACTCTGTATCGTCACCCATTTGTCATCCCGCATGCAGGAAATTGGGTATGGAGCCACAGACATTGTTCGGAATTCCGTCAATGTCCTCAGTCGCTAAAACTGTGTCTCAGCGCATGTTGCAATGCACATACATGCCATGACGTACCTGCCAAACGACCGTGCATTCGAATACCACCAGCATAAACAGAGTGAAAAGGCTGTAATACCAGTACTCGTCCAGACACCACAGCGCAACACAGAACACTTGAAACACGAAAAAGGGAGCCGTTGCATGTTCCATGAACAACATAGAAAAGGACGGGATGGGAATATCAAACTCGTTCTTGCCATAGAGAGATAGAAGATCCAACACGTCAGAGGATTTCAGCGGCTGCGCCGACTTGTAGTTCGAGAGCGGGGGATGGCTGGAGGAAGGATACGGCAGGCGAGAGAATACAACGGGGGAGTCCGACTCGAGGACATACGTGTCCCGCTGATAGCTGAAGGTGTATGTCTTAACGTCCGTAGGGTTTTTCTTCACAATCTTGACTATCTCTCCGTGACCACGATGGGGAGCCGGTATTAGACGAATGCAGTCCGCTCTCTGCAAGGAACTCGCCTGTGGATAGAGAAATTAGAACGCTCAAACCACTGCGACAAGTGCGACGAACCTTGCGAGTTGTGATCCATGCCTTCGCACGAGTACTCCATCTGGTGAACAAGAAGCTAAGTGCGTGTGTAACGCCGACGCTTACACACGCAAGGAAGGTCCATTCTTCGCTTTGAATCCATTGTTCGTACTTAACATAGTAGGCATATGCGAGGAGAGGGTATAAACATAGACTGGGGACCGTGTAAAGATGCAGATACCACGGCAGCGCAATGTGCAGAGTGGCTGCTGAGATCTCCGGAGAGTTGACCTTGACCGAGACCCTGCGATTATGAGCGAAGCATTTATAAGACAAGGGGAGATAGTTACATGTCCAAAGTAAGAAACGGGGGATGCGCTTGCGCACTCCTTCAAATGAAAGCCGCAAAGCAAAATGAAGTTGTGAGTGTAGTGAGGGATGTCGATGTCGAGAGCAGTGTCGGTAAGGTACGTGTACGATCCCCACAAGTAAGCGCTCAAGCTTCAAGCACCAAGGTTTGATTCGGCAGAGTTCGGCACACTTCCAAATACCTGAATATTATTTCCAAATAACAGAATGTTATTGGGCTACTGACATGAGCTAGTTTTTCACCATTGCCAATGCTTAGTAAACATGATATGAATCACACCTCAAAGAAAGTACCGATTCTATTTGCAGGAAAGACTCTAGAATTGAATTCAATAATCTAGCCTTCCATGTCAAGTGAATAATTTTTGGGAAAGGATTGGAAAGAGCTCATTTCGCACCTTTCCTGGGCATAATTCATGCCAAGCTGCCTATATTAACTCAAAAAATGATAGGATGTCATAGCAGGGAAAAATCAAAGGAAATCTGCAGTTTTTCACTCATTCGAAAATATCACTGATTCACGGAGTGTGAAATGCATGAGATAGTCGCTCGAAAATGCCAAAATTCTGACACCCTTCTTGCACATTGGAAAGGCACATGAAAGGTTCACCTTTCCTAGACATTCACCTCCTGCATGACATAAACTTCAGTGGCTCCTGGAATTCCTACAAAATGCTTAAAACTTAGCAGCACTTCTCAAGGGTGGAAAGAATACCATTCCAAATTCTGAAAATGCTCAAAAACTCATTTCAATTTCCTGACACTGCACAGGAAGTACCAATTCCTATAGTGAGAAAGGTATGGAAATCTGTAGATTTTCTTTCACTTTCCCCTGAGGCAGCATCCTATCATTTTCTACATCAATAAAATCAGTCTAATGCAAATTAATGTCCAGAAAAGATACAAAATGGGCCTTTTTCAAGTCTTTTTCCAACATTGTTCACTTGATCAGAAAGGCTGAATTATTCATTTAAATTTTAATACCTTTTCTGGAGCAAGAATTGATGCTTCCTTTGCAGTGTCAGAAAATTTAAGTGAGTTTTCTCAGCATTTTAGAATTTGAAATGGTATCCTTTCCATCCTTGGGAAGTGCTGCCAAGTGTGTAGCATTTTATAGGAATTTCAGGAGCCACTGAAGTTAATGTCATGCAGGAGGTGAATGTCTAGGAAAGGTGAACCTTTCATGTGCCTTTCCAATGTGCAAGAAGGGTGTCAGAATTGTGACATTTTTGAGTGACTATCTCATGCATTTTCACTCCATGAAACAGTGATTTTTTTGCAGTGTATGTCATAGGGTTCGCTGTTGTGACATATGACACTAACACCGCAGACATGAAAGCATTTGCGACAGTTTCATTTTTGTTATTTAATGACACTAAATTGTAATTAGCTGCCTTTTTAGAATGCAAAGTTGCCTAATTAGGGCATAGCATTGCATAGGTCACACTTTAGAACATATTTTCAGAGCACTCGCAATGGGAATAAATGCCTTTATGTCTGCAGTATAATATATTTATAATATGTTTTAGTAGAAATAACTGTCGCAAATGATCAATGACAGGTTGAGAACATCTAATTTGAAAATCTGCATGCCTCATTCAGTGAAGCTCTAGATACTACTGCATATTTTGAAATATATGCTGGCAAGCCAGATGGTCGTAAATCTGTTTTGCAAACTTATGCTTTGTGCTGACATTTGAGGATAGTATATGTCATGATTCACAGACTGACACCCCCAGCATTTGTCAGATTACCACCTCAGTCTCATTAGAGGAAGACAAAATGGCAGGATACACACACCATGCACCATGCTCTATATACATGCAGATATGTATGCATACCATTTAGCCTCAGGCTGGGTGCTTTCTCACCTATTTCACTGCCATGCTCATCACTGTGTCACCAAAATGTGACAGTATACTTGAGTAAGTTGGCGATGAGCACTGAGTTCAAATAACAGTTGCAGCAGAGGAACAGCATCAAGCAGCTTTAATTGTGAATGCATGAACAGGGTGTGACAGAGACATGATCAAATACATGTATAAAAGGGTTGAATACATGAATGTGTGCATGAAAGAGACAGCAACACAGAAGCACATTGCAGGCACTGCACGAAATTGCAGATAATGAAAAGTGGCAATGCGGTGGTAATGAGAATGTTTCGCACACATTATACTCAGAACACATGCATATTTCATGCAAAATGTAATTCAATGTGAATGGTAACAATACAAACTGAATACAAGCAGATTACATGATCATTCTGCACAGGTTTTGTAATGCATGAAATCTATGGAGTGCCCCGACATCATTTCTCAGATAACCTCATAATAATTGATTATGTAATTATCAAAATAGACAGGCAGCTGCAGCTGATATATTCCATATCGTGGATCTACGCTCAAATTTGTACTCTCTGAGCATGCACAATGCCATTATAGCATGAAGGAGACAGCAATATATCAGCGTGAAATACATACACACATCAGATGTAGTGAAAACTGAATAAACTGTGAATTTTCCTCATCTCCCCCCATGTCATCTGCAATGGCTCAGCCGAATATGATCTAGCAATGCCTGAATCAGCCAAAGGCAGCAATAGAAGCATTAGAAGAGCTGAAGAGTGACTTTGTGACATACAGGAGCAATACTGACAAGCGGTTACAAGTGCTTCATGCACAAAATAAGCTTTTTCTTGGAGAGGTCCAAGTCCTGAATCAGCATGTGAAATTCATGGAACAGATGCTGAATGTTGAGGATGAGGGTGAGGCTGGCATAGCTATGGAAAGGAATGCGGCTGGAGAAGTAATTGGGGAGAAAGGTGAGGAAGGTGAGGATGGTGCTGAGCAAGAGGCCTCCGTGGTAGCAAGTAAGAAAGCTGTGCTTATGAAAGGCATTCACATAAGTCTAGTTCAATACAACAGAGTGCCTGAAGGTACTTACGAAGATGAGCAGGACATCATTAAAGACATGTTTGCGCTGCTCATGGGTGTTTACAAGATTGATGTGAAGCATTTACCACCATATCCACATGGAATCAGACGCGAGAATGATGCATGGCCAAAAGGAAGCAACGAACAGCCATTACTTCACTTTCAGTGAAAACACAGCTTTGATGATCATGTCAACAAAGATGGCTTACAGACAGTTGTTGAGTCCATTAGAGCAACTGGTGTAGCACAGATTCCACATGCTAAGGATGCCTTGGCATCTGTGCTTGATCCCCATCTCAAAGGCAAGATCAGAGACAAGTTTAAATATATGGCATGTCAGATCATGGTGCAAGAGAAGAATGTGAAGGAATATACCTTTATAGCACTGGTTGAAGATGATGACAAGCATGAGAAGGAAGAGCTCAGAGCTGAGGTGCAAGTGAAGAAACTTCAGGCAGTGATGAATTCTCGTGTCCTATCAGTCAGTAAATCAGTCTGAGATAAACCATTAATAATCACTCACATAGCATGCATCATGCAATGAAGAGATTACAGGTGCACATTCACAAGCATTCTGTGTCACTGTATGCAGACAAGAAATATGATTCAGCATTCACTGTCTACCAATATTGATCAGCTGGCATACACCGAGATGCACCCAGACCCTTCAGAAGATGCAGGCTCTCTGCCATCAATGCTATGTCCGATGATGATGGTGATCCTAATGGGAACCCAATGTTCATCAACCATCTTCTTCCGTGCAGCCGCAGATATCAGTGGCTTTGATGTGAAGGCCCATTTTAGCTGCTTCCGGTCATTGTGCAGCTTGAACTCTAAAAATGTCTTAGTGAGAACAAATTCATGCTATATCTTATGCACTTTGTATGTTGTAACCAGTTTCTGTGTTAATCTCATCTTGGATAATGTGACATATGTTGCAAGGGTGCATTTTATGTGAATGACCCGTGGCTCTGGTGACCTTGTGACAAGCAGGAATATCGCTTTTGTGCATCTCGAACCCTCCATGGAGTTGTGGTGAAATCTCGTGGCCATACATTTGCATCTTCATACCTGTATGATGAATTAGCAAAGTAAATTTGAGTGACATTTTAAAATGTATGAAATCACTGGCATAGAGAATCTGCATTTCTTGCACAACAGGCTCAAGAGCATGGTTTAACTGCTCAAGACTTGGCTCCTTCAGTCCAGAAATGTTGGTTACAAGATGGACAAACTGCTGCAGGTAGTGGACTGAGTGATGTAACCCAGTGAAGGATATGTACACACTGCCAGCAGAATGCGGGCAATTATCTGTGATACCAAACCTAACATGAATGAATCAAACGATGAAGTACAGATATATACATAGTCAATGCACCAGTCAATGTTCAATATTATGCTGAGGTTGACGAGGGCCTGTCAGAGTGTACGAGATGTGCCAGCAGAGCACTCGATGTTAGATACACTGCCATCAGCATGTACAACTCACTTTCTTCTGAGTGTGAGGGAGCTCCAAGCTTTGCCATCATGGAAATCATGCATAAGCTCATTAGAAGCCAGAGTGCAGGTTTCAGTATCATTGGATGGCAGCTGTAGGTTCAAGACAAAGTCAGGATGCATAAGAAAATATTGAACTGCCTTGATGATAGATGCATATGGTTGAATCTTGACCAGTACATGCTTATCAGTGGTCGTGGTAGTGCCTTCAGCATATCGCTTAATGCGATAAATGATTCCTTTACAGTGTGGCATCAAACACTGCAGCGAATCCATTTTTTGATGTCATCTAGAGAATAGTACTTATAGCAGATAATACATATAGGACACCATTCGATGTAATTATCAACGGCTAGTCCGAGCCGTCACTTTGCAGCAACAATAGTTGTTGCAGATTTTGGATAGGTGGGAAGACAGCTGCATAGTCAGATAATATCTAATTCATCCTGAAGCTGATTCTGAGCTGTGATCATGGTAGTTTCACCAGATATGTTGCCCAGAACTGCATGGAGATAAGCTAGTCAAACAGCCTGATGTTCATGGAATGCAGATGCAAGCTCTGCCATCTCAGCTAGTTCAGCATGCACAGGATAGTCATAGCCTTCATGGAGCTCTTGCATGCAAACAGGGTCAAGTCCATCAGAAGAGCCAGGGTTAGCAGAGGATTGAGGCACGAGAAATGGCTGAGCACTATCTGAGTCCTGTGTATTAGTATCACTAGAATTGCCATAGCCAGAGTCATTAGCATAGAGACTGTCAACTCAAGAGAATCATCAATATAAGCAGCAGAGAGACCAGATGACCCTTTCCTTGAGTTATGGGTCACACAGAGACATTTAGCAGAGCAGCTGAGGAGTCCTGATATGAGTCAGTGATACCAGTATCAAGTAAGTCCAGCAAAGTCCCAGGCACAGGTGCAGCCACTGAGGAAATGTGAGAGGACTCCAATTTCAATCGTTGACAGTGTTCAGCCTCATCATGCTGTCTGTGCCATACGGCTGTCCATTTTTGTTGTAAACAATAGCCATCATGATTCTTGCTGCAACATGAACAGAAGTAGTGCAACACAACCTATGACAATAAGAAAATTAGCATAAAACTGTAGCTACCTTTAACGCACTGAAGACATTGTCGCATCCACGAGAAGACTACTAGTTCATGAGGAAAGCATCGAGAGTGAGGTGACTATGTGCGTTATGCACGTCCGCCACCAGATTTGCACCACTGGTGTGCTATTTATTGCTATATACACATTATCTGGAACTTACCTGAGATAATTAACATAGATGTTCCTAATCCACCTTTCGGACTTCATAACAAAGCAGCCGGCCATGGCATATGGGGACGCTGTCATGTGTGATCTAGTTGTATCCAGTGAGTAGTATGCAGATTGAAAGCAGATCAGCAAAAATGTGACATCTGCGTGACTTTTGCTCATAATGCATGTGAAATGTACAAATTGCCATCATATTCTACTTTGCATAATCTACAATTTTGTGCAGTGAGGATAGGGAGAGTAGCAAATGGATTTTAATTGTGAACACACATGTCATAGCAGTGTAATGTAAATAATGGGGTACAAGTACAATAGGGTAGAATATACGAATGTGCATGTCAGAGAGGTGGTGATGGGTTACAATTACATAGAAGTTGAATATTGAACAATGAAGGGGTACTGTAACTACATATGAGGAGTGAAGTCAGCACATCAGCATGAAACAGACTGCACAGGTCCCACTCAGAAACTGAGAGATAACATTCACCAGTGATTGTGCAAGCAACCACATGAACAACCACACCAGTGATCATGCCAGCGACCATGTCAGTGATGACACAAGTTCACAGAACAAATTTGACTATATGAGCAATAAATGCCACAACAGAAATGGAGATAGGAGGGAGAGGACATCCTAAAACAGAAAGACACAGAAGGTACAAGCAAGTGATGACATGAAAACAAGCAGCAATGTCAAAGGAGGCCCCATGTTGTAGAAGACAGGCATATGTAATCATAGCCACATTATATCATGTGTGCAGTGGCAGCACTGAAAAAGGCAACTGGAGTGCATGGTCACAGAGTAGGTTCCAGGGTAATGATTGTCAATCAAAATGAGTTGAAAACAAAGGTAGCTCTTGCTAGTTACATATGTTGATGCACTTCAGGCATCCCCATGTCAGAGGCTCTTAGCCATATCTCTGTCTCCTTAAAAATATGGCTAAGAGCCTTTGTAGTGATGGTCTGGCCATGGTCTTATACAATTTGTGGATCCTATGATGGTCCTTTGGTACTTCTTGCAGAGGTACCAGTACCTTCTGGGCAGTACTATAGGAACATTTGTAGGCTGTGACGGATCTGGTCTCAAGGGTTTTCCCATCATTATGACTGCTGTCACATGGTGTCTGGGGGTCATATGGGACATTTTGAGGACAGAAAATCCTGGATTTTCAGGATACTTATACTTTAGTGCAACACTTTGCAGGCTATATTTCTGCTGTTTCATCATTTAGAAGTTCATTTCTTAATATCACTGACCTTTGATTGTGGGTTGATATACGCCATTCCAGCTGAAATAAATCATAGCAGAATTACACTCCAAACACAGTGGAGAGGCTTGGGCCGAAGCTCTTCGTGAGCGTTGCGAATGCGGGCATTATCCAGGTCTGACCATTGCTCGAGTGCATGCCAGAGTATGTGATGTCTCCATCATCGAATGACTCGCTTATCTCGTGACATGTGCAGATTCATCGAGGACGTGGTGTGGATCAATGTGCTGGGACTCATGAACGCCCACATCGCAGCTGGGTGGCAGATGATCAAGCAGGGCTCCGGTGGGTGCATCCTTGGTGCTGGCTCAATAGCATCGTATCATACAGCGGGGTGAGTGGGATGGTGCCCGATGACTGGACAATTTTGGCCTGATGGAGTGCATGTTCTTGTCAGTCAACCTTACGCCGTATGGTGCGACAAAGTTTGCGGTTCACGGGTTCACGGAGGCAGCTGCTAAGGAGTGGGCGCAGTACAGGATCTGAGTGAACGGTGAGGTTTGCCATCCTATTGGCTCATTATCATCATTTGTCTGATGGTGTCGGACGTGTTAGCGTACGGCTCCGGTATCGTTGGCTGAGATCTCGCGAAGATCGTGATTGTTTCCATTATTGCAGTTGTCTAACATCTCACGTACAAATCTGTGCTCCATCGATAGGAGGGCATCAGCGTTGGTGAGGCGGAGGCTCAACACGTGAAAAATGATGTGCTGCTCAGGCGCATACAGGAGGCTGAGGATGTCGCGAAGCTGGTTACGTTCTTGGCATCGGATGAGGCAGAATGCCTCACTGGTCAGATGATCAAGACATGCGGTGGTGCGTCTCTGTGAGACGAGCATGAAGTAGAGTAGATTCCGCAGATTGTGTCAATGTAAGTTTGTCTTTTTTATTGTTGAAATGAACTCATCAGTCCCACCACAGTGAGTGCTTGGTTTGAGTGATAGAAGGATTCTCTGTAACCCTCGGGGACAACTGTAATGACCATTAAGGCAGAACAATGTCTAACGAGCCACGAGGTATGTGGACCCACACATCATGCGTGTTGTCGTGCCAGTTTTCCCGTCAAAACGATTGAGCCATAGTGAATATTGCTTCCCTCAGCTTCGGAAGGACATGAATCTGATCCATATTTCTATGGTGCAGCTGCACGCGCACGTTAGAATGCTGATGAGCCAGCTCCACTCACGATGGCAAAGAAGACGTCTAGCACTCTGAGGCCGTCCGCATAGGCTATCGAGCCAGAGCCTTCGACGTTTGCGCCCAGCGACAGGTGGTCGAACAAAGACATAAATCCCATGCCTGTTCATGCTGTGCATCTGCCGCTTCATGATGATCTTCTTCATTTAGATGGATTCCTGACGGAGAGTTGCATTATGTGACCTTGGGATCGATTAGTGAATGTGGATGACATGGAATTATGTCGCATACTGGATCTCGGATGCGACCAACACTGCAGTATGCTGTCCATTGAATTGTCATGGTGCGCACACGAAGCATATATGCATGCCCCCAAGGACCTGCTCATAATCCATGCATGCAGTGTAGGCAACAAGCACTACCTGCGATTGCCCTCGGGCGTTGCATCATAGCCATTGTCATAGTACTGAACGTGACAATCAGTGCTCGCCTGCATGTTGCGTTCCCCGTGTTCAACCACTCCTCATTCAGCTTTTGGTTTAAATACTTCACCGTCATCAGCCAGGTCATCCTCTCCCTGTTATGGTTCAGCATACAGTCATATACAGGATCGGAATGTATATATCAGCAATGCGTTGACCGAGACTTGTGCAGGTGTGGAAACTGATGCCCAGTGAAAATCCCGTATAAGCACAGTGAGGGAAATCGTGGTGGAACGAGTCCGTGAAGGTCAGGACTTTTCCCTAAAGTTGCAGATCATGGGACAGTGGGGCATTCAAAAATAAGTCGGCAAATTTGTCTTGGCATATCGAACGACGCAGAGCACATGGTGCACAACATCGTCGCATCGATCATATGTGCATGAACTTGTGAGCATGCAGCATGATCAGCATGCACGTCGATGTGATGACATTGTATGCGCTCAACGACATCACGTTTCATCTAAGTACGGCCAACCTCGTGCTTCTGTCGTGTAATGCGTCGGGCAAGCAGAGCCATCTTTCCTTCCAACCACCACCATCCCCCTCCCTTCTTATGCCATCAGCCAGCCCCTTAACATCTCCCTGCCCTCTGATTCATGCTCGTGTCTGCCATGCAAAAGTAAGTAGTTGCAGAGCTGTCCTCTGAACACTGTTGTGCTAACATTATCTAAGCAGTTGCACCATGATGTACTCGGAATCAGGCTGAGGTTGAAGAATTCCTCAGGTGGACACTTTCGAGGTGTCGTTCCAAGCTCTTTCACCTGAGGAGCTCCAGATAAGTACTGTTTTCGCTCGAACTTCATCTGAATGCAATTGACAAGGACACTTTTGATGCGTCATTCCAAAGTCTTTTACCCGAAGAGCTCAAGGTGCATATTCTTGGGATTGTGGTCATTGCAATGCTTACGGCTGCTCTGCATTCAGAAATACGAAGATCTTCAAAATGCGCTTCCAAGCGCAAGCAAAACAGAGCTGCACTGCTGCAGGGAGCAAGATCTCTTAGGTACAGATCATTTCTCTGTCGTTTAGTTCGCTTTAATTGGTGCATGCTATGTACAGGGACCAATGAGAGATGAGCGGAATGAGAAATAGTGGCGCTTCGAAGCAGGTAGGCGACAACGGGCCAAATGGAAAGGAGAGTGGGCAGAGTGGGATTTCGATGTGGAGTGTGGGTGATCGGGGTGGGGCATGGGTGAGGGCTACGATAATGGGAGGGAGGACAAAGTGGCAAATCTGGGGAGGCAGTGGGACACAGAGGATAGCTACTATTCTGTATAGTTTTGCTCCAATCCACCACGACCTACTCAGGATAAAAAGCGTAATAGTTCAGATTTGTCCTGCAGGTTGTGGCGGAAAGCGGCACTTGAGAGGCTCCACAACGCATCAATTCACCATGATCTCCCTCGCTACGCTCATACAGAATTTTCACTGGGACTGACGTTGCATGCTCGTACAGATGCTCAAAGCTATCTGGTTGTCGTTGGACCACTTGCTCAACCATCTTCCAGCTAGTGCCAATATTACTACCTCAGGTCTGCCTGTCCCTCTCTTCTTCTTCTAAGTATGGAGTTGTAATGAGATGTTTTTCATAAGGATGATGTGCTATTTTCTGTACTGGCTCATCCATATCATTTCGTCGAGCTCTTTTTTTAATCTGAAACTGCGCTCTCACATCTGCAGGCGCTTGTGGGCGGCAGGTGCATGAGGGGGGCTGCTTACATCAGCGGTGTGCGTGGACTGTCAATCCATCCAGAATAAGACGTCCTTCACCACAGTACTTGGAGCACCAGCAAAGTATGTTGTATTCAGAGCTTCAGAGCTTCGGAAACGCTACGTGTACGCCATGGCCCACATTGCACGATCCCCGACATGTGCCCTATCTAACTGCACCCATAGGACTGCACCCATAGATCACCATCTATAGCTAGATTCCCCCTCTCATGTGATCTGTGACCGGATCTTCTTGTGACTATGAGTGCAGCATCGATGTCTGGGCCCTCAGCTGCTCCATTCTATTCCCACAGATGGACAGCCCTTAATGCACGCAATGTGCAAACTAAAATCTTACCAGCGGTTGCCGTTATGCGCTCTGACTTGTCGTGCCGTTCTTACTTCTTTGCCGTTTCTTGCAACGTGCAATCAATGTCAGTCCCTTTGACCACAAGCATTTCTGGAGGATGGCCTCAACTGAAGCAGCGAGTTCACTAAGCATATGTGATATTGTTCATGTCTTCGCTGACTTCTTCTTCATGCATGATTCCGCAAAAGTGCGGTGTCCACCTCCTTATCATCTACCATCATCGAAACCTGTCTTCGAACTTGTCTGCTCAAGTATCCACGACTTGCAGTATCGATATTCACTCATACTCGTCTCATGCGCAAAAATGCGTGCTCAAGATGGTACAGTTGTAGTTGAGCTCTATGACGCTCAAAACGCCACTCTAGAGGAGCGCAACCACGACTATTCAGTTGACGCAGTGTCCAAGGTGTCGTATGCTTCATGCCAGGTGGAGGGCATCTTCGGAAAGGTCTGTAGATGTTATCAGTTGCGCATTGACAAACATTAGCCTAACACCCAGCATGAATAGGTGTTTGCCTGCAGGATAGAAAACAAGGCGTCTTTCACCATTATTGTCGAACTGAATTTCGAGGGCATGGCGCTATCGCTGTATACAGTCAGCGCCAACTCAACATTATGCGATATGGGCTATATGATCTCCGCTACACATATCCAGCTGTATAAGTTCGTGAAGATGTTTCATGAATGTAAGCACTTGGTAGTCCTATCAACTCGTCAGTGGTCACCCAAACCTCACCTTTTGTGCACACAGTGTCTACTGAAAGCGTGAGGTCTCCAACACATGGCATGCTCAAGTTCAAGATCTCACCTGCTGACCATGTCACGTACTCTGACATCGACATCCGCAAGGATCCGTGCAAGCGTGAGTTGCGAAGAAGGACTGTGAAAAGGTCCTTTAAGGATAGAATGATGCACGAGCCACAAGTGATGTAATGTTGTTGTCTTTTAGTCGGACTCGCAATATTCTGACTTGTGATTCTTCAGTCAGTCCTCAGGCTAATTCTGATAGATAAATTCTCAATTTCATTAAATTTACTTTGTATCTGAGATTACTGCAGCATGAATATCAGACATGATTATGATCATGTGGTCATATCAGTTTGGTTTCATAAGTCATTCTGGCCCTCTCAGACCGATGTCTACAATAGCCCGTGGTCCATGATTGTGGTCACGTGGTCATACCAGTTTAGTTTCATAAGTCATCCTGGTCCTTCCAGACCGATGTCTGCAATATCCCATGGTCCCTCATTCTGATTACATGGTCATACCAGTGTAATTTTATAAATCATTTTGCTCCTTGCAGAATGATGACTGCTATAGTACCAAAAATTCTGCCTAAAATCAAACATGATCCATTTGTTGTTCAGTAATTTATCAACAACGCATTATAAGTATACAAGCAGATTTTATGGTCCAAGCTGGCAGAACCATAAGGTGCATAACATGCATCTGTGCAACTCATTCTAAATACTTTCTTGAGATCTTCAGCCTTAACTTCATGCTTGGACTTACCATCCTGATGGGACTCCCCAATGCCGTGAATCACTAAACCCATATCACAACTATTTTATTTTCCCTTTGAATGAACATCCCACAACAATGTCATGCTTAATTAGTTTGTTCAATTTCACATATGGACTTAGTGAGCAGCTTAACAAATAATTAACAATTTTAAACATTTTCAAAAATGGTCATTTTCAGAAAACTCATAATTTATTCAGACTGACCAAGACACATTGCATTGAATGATGCACCAAGAAATGTATATACAACATGAGAGATCACATATCTCAGCCCCTACGGTAGTCACACGTGATATTCTGCTTATTTCCTGTGTGCCTATGTTCCTTAAAGTCAGATGAAAGATAATCTTCATGCTCCAGGTCAAAAAGGTAGTCTTTGTAGTGAGGATAGCCGATGTTGTCGTGCACATGGCTTGAATCTGCAATGGCATTGCCTTGCTGCATGTAGACCAGATGCGCAACAGGCACACTGTAAGCATTTGTGAACACATCGGCCCTGGATGGGTACCCATAGAGAGGGACGAAACCTTGCATCCCCATCAGCTGCCCATAGTGAGAGTGAGGTTGCAGTCGAGTATTGAGGATGTGGATGTCCTCATGTCATAGTGGATGACCTTGGCCTTCACCGCCTCACTCGGTGTGCAGCATGTGCCTGTGTTCACTGCGAGACTTGCCAAATGAATGTGGCTTGTCTTGCCTCTCCTCATCATCACCACCTCATCGACCATTCTTCTTCTTTTTCTTTAGAGAAGGAGGATGTGAGGCTCTGATGACCTCATTTGCTTCATCCGATGTGGAGGCAGCGTGATGGCAGGATGACATTAGTGCACGTTGTTCATCATGGGCATTGACAGTGACAGTATGAGCTGCTGCCGTGTGGTGGTGAGGCTTCAGCACATGACATCAATATGCATAGCGGCCACATGAGGCACAGTAATGGGCACATCATGGTGGTGCAGCAATGGCGACGGCAGCTCATCATTGCTCTCAATGGTGATAATGCGAGTCAGGCGAGCAGTTGGAATGTGTGGACAGGGTGGTGATGATGATGGGTGCTCATTCTCACTGTCAACAGTGATCACATTGGAACTGGGTACGTGGTGGTCAGTCATATGCAGGGGATATTGTCCAGCATCTTTGTTGATGTTCAGTGAGTGATTATGGGCTCTTTTCTTCTTCGCGCCCTTCGACTGGTCTTTCTGTAGCTTCCTCAGCCATTCAGTCAAGTCGTGCAGAGTCTTGTGCTTAGTGCTTGTCAGACCAATGACTAGGGGAATGTTGCCTTTGCCAAGGTTGTTGTCAGACATTTTGAGGTCACCTGGCAACTGGTCAGTGAGAAACAAGTGTTACAAGCAAATAATGTACTTTTACTCCACCTCTCGACGTGAGGGATTGGTAGCAAGGTTGCTCCGCTCTTCTCTCTCTGCAGAAAGCCCTCCACAAGCTTCCTGAGCTCTTCAGTCTTGAGAGATTTGAATTCAAACTTTGGATCTCCAGGCACAGGTTGCACGTTGTCATGCCAGTCCACCATAGTAAAACTGTGCTTGTATGCAAGATTCAGCCAGTTCTTCCATGGAACGTGCTGCGGGTTCTTCACATCAGAATATTGACCTGTCACCATGATGTAAGACACAGAAGGCTGGACATGTAATTAGTATTCACTGAGGGACCCTTGCATGATCGACGTCAAAATATGGCGATGACGGTCACAAGGCAACTCTTTTGTGGTGCTCTCCACGTCGATACTGGGACCACCTATGAACAGAATGTTGGTGTGACCTTGGCCTAGTTTGACATTCCTAAGAGAGCATTGTCAGTATTATAGGCAGAGCACTTGAGAACACTTACTTGACTGCAGTTGTAAGGTCATCCCAGAGCTTCACCGCATCGATCTTGTTCTTCTCAATCAAGCTCATGACATATTGTGAGCTGTCAAAGAGGGTGGAAAGCTGTCAAGCCACAGTGTCAGTACCAGTATGTATGATGACCCTGATAATCTCCATATCCTCGAGATTGTGATAGGTTCCAGCTAGGTTCATGAACTGCTTATGTGCACGAATCATTCTGGCTGTCGTAGACTTCACAGAGCAGATGGCATGAGCGGGGTCCTTTTTCAGATTGTTGCAGTAGTCGAATATCAGCTTGAAGGCACGTTCACAAGCATTGTCATCACCCTTGACACTCTCACAAAGTTTGCAATAGGCTTTGTCCATCATGTTGCTGTATTCGGCAGGAGTGACTAGATGTAACGAATCTGGTCAGTCATACACTAAGAGAAGTCAAGCAATGAATGTCATGCTTACTGTTGCTGGCCTGAGCAAACAGATGGTGGTCTGAGTACCATGTACAGAACATGTTGAAGTGATTCAGTGTGTGAGATGCCTTGATGCCAAGGTTTGCATAGATCAACACATCGTGTGTGCCCTTGCTGAATTGGCAGGTGATGTCTTCAGCTTCAGTTATCACACAGTAACCCAGATCTTCTGCTGGCTCTTTGGTGGCCTTGGAGAATGGCCCCGGTGTCTTTGTCCACCTCTCTGCCTTCTCTGGCCCATCATCAACACCATCACTGTCATTGCCATTGCCATCATCATCACCGTCATTGTCAGCATCAGAGATGACACTCCCTAGCCTCTCATCATCCTCATTGAAGATGGCATTGTCATCCGCATTGGTGTAGTCACTCAAATCTGCATGAGATTTGCCTTTCTCTCGATATGTATTGGCAGGACGTGAATCTGAGCTTTCTTCACTCTCACGGCTAGCCTGCAGCTGACAGCGGTAACTCGTCATTACTCAATGTTCATGAATGACCTTGTTTTCAAGCTCTGCATCAATCTCACAATCTTCTTCATCAGTATCCAGAGCTTCGTCCAGATTCTTGTGTGCCAGCTGGGCTCACTTCTTCAATGCCACTCTGCAAGTCTCACTGAAGTTGCTGCCCGAGGTGTCAAAGAGCACAGGGTCTTCGCTGAGTCAGCGAGCTGCATGTTATCAAAATGTGTAAGAGAAACTCACCTATTCTGTTGTCTGCACCGTCATCACTAGCGAACAACTCCCATGCGACTCCTTTGTGCCTTGACGCGATAAGTCTCTGATTACGTTTTGCTGCATTCTAGTGCATTAGGGTTCTGTCAGTAAGTATGTGATTATGCCAGCTTGTATGACTCATCGTATTCTTGACGTGACATACTTGGTCACTGTCTGTTTCAAGCTCATGGTTGCCCTCCCCCTCAGCCTCGTCCTGCAACTCATGCTTGAAAAGATTCTGTGCATCGTCCTCATCATCGTCATTGCTGCCGTCCTTGCTGCTGCCATCCTCGATGTCATCCTTGCCATCATCCTCATTGTCATCCTCGCTGCCATCCTTGCCATTGTCCTTGCCGTTGTCCTCGCTGCTGTCATCCTTGCTGCTGTCACCCTCATCATCATTCTAAAGTTCATTTTCCTGCACCTCATCCTCACAGTCGCCCTCATTCTCGTTCTCGTCATTGTCCTCTTCATTTGCTTCCTCAGCTGCACCCTCACGTTCATTCCTATGCATGCGTGGTGACCTTGTCTTGCCGATGTTGCTGGGCCCATAATGAGTTGATGCCGATGGAGTGGAAGCAGCCTATGTGAAGGTATAAGATGAGTTCATTTTCAGATCTTCAGAGGATCAGAGATCACCACTCACCTCAGCATAATTCTGGAAGGTCTGTCATGCTGTCCCTTCACAGTTTTACTGATGGTCTTTCAGGCAGTCTTGTCCTTTTTAGTCACAGTTTTTGTGATAGGCTTGCCTTGCTTTGCCTAAGTAAGAGATTTAGATAATACACGAATGATCTCTGTCGGCAAGTAATTAAAAGCTGGGCGTCCTTTATCTGAGTGGGCCATACCATCATTTTGACTGTTCAAGTCGCTGTCGGGTACGTGGCGACCACTGCGCATCATTCTATGAGTGCCAAGTGGATCAACTGCAGCTTCTGAAGGTTCTGCTTTGCACTCAGAGCAAAGGTGATGCAGCTCAGGCTGAGAAGGTTGTGCTCTTGCACGAGGCATGACAGTGGGAGGTAGTCAAGATGAGAGTTGCTGACAGGGGGTGATGGTTCAACCTGTGAGTGCGAACGTGTCTGTCAGCTCGATGTCAACCAGCACAGGGAGCGCGAAGCATACCGAGTTCTGGTCAGTTCATGCTGTAGCCTGATCAGGAAATCACAGTTCAGAATGAGCCATAAAAAGTGATGTTCACACCTGAATCTGAGCATATAAAGCAATCAGAGGCAGAACTTACATGGGAGACAGCACCACAATGCGCTACTTTGTGAGAAGATCTCCAAATCACGATTGCACTGGTATGCCTGACTGAGAGCGAATCTGGTATATTCACAGAGGTGGGACGTCTCAGCGTCGAGAATGAAGAGGGTTTGAGTGGAAGAACAAGCCATGTAACATTGCTGCAGCTGCAAGTCTGAAGTCGGGCGAAGTATTCCAGAAGTATTAGACGATGATGATGTGGCCGCAGAGGATTACTCCGACAATCTAGCGACTCAAGGTCATTCCAACGGTCATAGCACAGACTGAGTACTTGAGTGGCACAGCTGCTGTTGCCCTCCATGCTCTGAACACATGCACGAATGCACGTATCCTGGTTCGCAACATAAGGTCAGTAGTATTCATGCCAATCAAAACAAAGATGACTTACTGAGCACGAACTGCCTTTAGCTTGAGCCAGCAGTCAAGCATTGTTATGAAACATTGTCGTTGTTCTTGTCTAGCACGAACGTGCGTAGACGGACCAGATGAGTCCAGTTACATGTGATCTTTTGTAACTGCTCACAGCTTTCTGCTCTCCCACCCATCTCTAACATGTTCAATTCTCGCTGACGACATAGTACTATGACTCGTTCAAGGTCTCTGTGCTTATATTTCTGGCATGGTATGTCGTGCCATCCATCATAAGGTATGTATTGCAGCAAATGCATCAATAACTCGATTGTGAGTTCATTAATAGAGATTTGGTCGGTGCACTGTATTCTCAACTCTTGCACCTTTGACATGCAGCATTCCATCAAGGTATGCATTTTTCAGATCTCTGCTTTCGTCTATTGTGGTTCTCATAACCAGTATTGTCCTGTATTGTTGCCATCTACTTATGCATGCAAGACACACGTACAAGAATGCAAGGGAAGCCCATCGATTAATTGCTCACATAGCACTCACACAGAACGGATTCATGCTGCATGAGGTTAGATGATTCAGGAAGATTTGGTTGTGGGACTCGAGTGTGCAGTGTCTAGCGACATGCTTTGATTGACCATGAATCTAGTATGTTCATCTTCAACTGAATGGGGTTTTCTTTTGACTTAAACAGCCATGCATGCTTCGTTGCAATGAACGTGTCAAGAAGTGAATCATTGCACCACTGCAGGATGTATCATTGGTGATAGTGTTGAGGAAAGCGAGTAAGGTGGTGGACTTGTTCAGAAGAGCACGGTCTGCTGGGGCAGCGCAGTAGTGGCACTGGCCATGAAACATCTCCTGTAAGCTGGGTATATATGCTCATGCTCGAATTCATTTTCTTCATAATCATTGACCGGTTCTCCAGAGAAGTTACTCTTTGAAACGTCTTTCCGACATGCAAAGGCTCGCTGAAAAGATCCCTCTCTACCTTCGAGCCCGGTGACTATCCGCTCATCATCTATGCATGAAAGTCAACATGTCAGCAGAACTACAGCTATGCACTATATAGAACATCAGGACACTTCTAAGAGATGACGGCCTCATAGAGCATACAACGTACAACTTCAAGGACTCGAAACTATCATCAGTCTCTTGGGCGGCATTCAATACGCTCAAATAAACACCACGCACGACTGTCTTTTTGACTGTCATGGCCAAACATCTGCACAGCCTCATTCGAGCCCTCCACCTGCAGAAGGGCCATTCACTGACCTCACCGATTCACCAGAATGGAACTCAATTCTCTACGGTGTGCACACCACATTCGATCAAGAGCCAGCTGAAATTGCACTAGTGGGTTCCACAATTGTAATACAATCCTGCACAGAGCTGCTAAAAAAAATTGTGTATATCCTCTTCACATATTGTAATACTGAATGATAAAACAATGTGCATAGCTATTGTAATTCTTGTAGAATGTTCCTGCTAGCATTGTAATACTTGCGCATTAGAGTTGTAATATGTGCTTGCAGGTATTGTTATATCTTTGCACTTGATTGTAGAATGTTCCTGCTGACATTGTAATACTTGCACACTGGAGTTGTAATCTTTGTAAAATGCTCCTGCAGATATTGTAATATCTTTGCACTTGATTGTGAAATGTTTTTAGCAGGCATTGTAATATCCTGTACTAGAACTGTGCTTCCTGTAAAATGTTTTCACTAGTATTATAATAATTACATAATAAAATGCACTGCACTGGTTTTTATTTTGCAGTGTTGTAATATTCATGCAGTATTATAATTTATTAATATTTATATAGATATTCTTGACATTGTATAATTATACTATAAACACAGATGCTTGCAATAAAGATATACATAGAATAATATGCACAGCCATTATAGTTTATATTAAAATTGCTTAGCATATATTGTAATATATATGCATCTAAGTTATAATTCTTATAAAATGCTTTTCAAATATAGTAATATACGAGTACTTCAATTATAGTTTCTGTCAAATGTTTATAAAAAAATTATAATATCAATATAATCAAATGCACTATATTTCACTTTTATAACATTTACTTTTGTACTATATAATAATATATTATTAGTTGTGCACATTTTATAACATTTTATAATAAATATATATGCACTTGAGTGATAGCCTCTGTGAAATGCTCTTGGCAGGTACTGTAATATTTTTGTCCTTTTTTGATTTTTATTTTTATAATATTTACATAAGAAATAATCCAAATTGTCTATTTGCTTGCATGATTATATGCTTTAATTTTCTATAACAAATGTTTGGTCACTATTAGCTGATTTGCTTATGCTATTTTCTTCACCCTTAGCACCAACAGATTCTTTGAAATGAGCTTCAAAATTAGATGTAAATTTTGATATAATTTCTATAAATGTTTGCTAATCTGCTTTGTCATGCTCATTCTCAGATAAAGAGCTTGTAAAAGGTGACATAAGCTGCACTGACAGCATCTATCATATGCAATAGTGGCTATCTCTACAAGATATCTGCATGCCAATAATTGCTCAATTGTATAAATAGTCACCATCATTTAGATTTCTGTCAGATTAAAAGATTTCACAAGCACAAGCAGAGACCTTTTACTCTTTTTACCTTCCATGTTGCCTAATTCATATTGCAAGCTTGATATGCTTTGTGATCTGATCAATAAAAAGACAAGACATGTCTGCATTTTACATAGGCTGAAAAGTTCCTTATCAACATCTGCCTTCTTTGCTGTGTCATTACTGATATGCATCCATTTTACAACCTTAACATCTGTGGCACTGGGCAGATGGCCAACATTCAAATGTGGAATGTGTATGATCACTTCACACAGAAGGTCAACTGCACTACTGCAAACTGATATACTGCATAAGCTGCATTTAGCATTTGAAGTTCAGAGGACAATTGATTGTTCTGTTATCTGGTTCTGGCTGATACAGATGTTTCAGATTCTAGACATGACAAGCAGAGTACTGAAATAGGTTATTATGAGCTTTGGTGCATATGAATAGGCTAATGACAGAGAAACTGGTGAGAAAGATGCCACACTGCAAATGAGTTTAGTGATAGCATGCAAGTCAAATGAACATAGGCTAAGAAGCATGCTGCCATTTTTTAGTATCTTGCAGCTCAGTTTGCTAAAATGTGATGTCACATCCTGACTCACCTATCTTTATAGATCTTTTACTTCAGTTTGTCAGTCACAGATGGATGAAACAGCATAAGCAAATCAGCTAATAGTGACCAAAAGTTTGTTATAGAGAATTAAAGCACATAATCGTGCAAGCAAATAGACAATTTTAATTATTTCTTATATAAATATTATAAAAATAAAAATAAAAAAGGACAAAAATATTACAATATCTGTCAAGAGCATTTCACAGAGGCTATCACTTAAGTGCATATATATTTATTATAAAATGTTATAAAATGTGCACAACTAATAATATATTATTATATAGTTTAAAAGTAAATGTTATAAAAGTAAAATATAGTGCATTTGATTATATTGATATTATAACATTTTAATAAACATTTGACAAAAACTATAATTGAAGTACTCGTATATTACTATATTTGAAAAGCATTTTATAAGAATTATAATTTAGATGCATATATATTACAATATATGCTAAGCACTTTTGATATAAACTATAATGGCTGTGCATATTATTCTATGTATATCTTTATCATAAGCATCTGTGTTTATAGTATAATTGTACAATGTCAAGAATATCTATATAAATATTAAAAAATTATAATACTGCATGAATATTACAACACTGCAAAATAAAAACCAGTGCAGTGCATTTTATTATGTAATTATTATAATACTAGTGAAAACATTTTACAGGAAGCACAGTTCTAGTACAGGATATTACAATGCCTGCTAAAAACATTTCACAATCAAGTGCAAAGATATTACAATACCTGCAGGAGCATTTTACAAAGGTTACAACTCCAGTGCGCAAGTATTACAATGACTGCAGGGGCATTCTACAAGAATTACAATGCCTGCCAGAAAGATTCTACAGTCAATTGCAAAGATATTACAATATCTGCAGGAGCATTTTACAAAGATTACAACTCCAGTGTGCAAGTATTACAATGTCAGCAGGAACATTCTACAATCAAGTGCAAAGATATAACAATACCTGCAAGCACATATTACAACCCTAATACGCAAGTATTACAATGCTAGCAGGAACATTCTACAAGAATTACAATAGCTATGCACATTGTTTTATCATTCAGTATTACAATATGTGGAGGAGATATACACAATTTTTTAACAGCTCTGTGCAGGATTGTATTACAATTGTGGGAACCACAGCTGGAACTTGATGAGCTCGTAAACGAGGGAAGAAGGAGCGGCAGTGGAAGAGATGAATGACTGAGATGATTCCTTCACTGTTACATCCTCATCATGGCCTTCTTTGCCTGTCTGCTTCTCTATGCAACATCCCCCATTCCATGGAGAAGGACTGCACCTGTGAAGGCATCAAGGTGCGCACACTGGAAGTGATATGTATTTACTTCAAATGTTAGTCACCGTCACTCTCGACTTATAGTGCCATGTCTGACGGATATCAAGGTCTTAAAAAAATCACACTGGTTGTCTGTGCCTGCTTATCCACAGCCGTGCAACTTCTGGCACACAGATTGTTGTACACCACAAGCTCCCAGCATTGCTATCGACTTGAATCTCTTGCAGTTTGTTAAGGACCTTTTCATGAGACTTTCACCGAATGTCTCATCATTCTGCTCTATGTTTGAATTTTTCCTTGGTGAGCGTGACTACAAATTCTTGACTCAGGTAAGTGTGCAAATTCTCTTGCATAGTTATCAGGTGCTGACTCATCACTGCTTACAGGATGCATTGCGAAGGCATTTCGGCAACATGTTGCTCTGGTACTCCAATCTCATCAACTCTATGAATCATTTCATACAAGATCACATCAAAGACACTCGAATCTCATGTACCTCCAATTCTTTACAAGACCAACTGGCTGCACAGAGGTCCAACAGCAACTGAAGTAAAGGATAATGTACGTACTTTTGATCTCACTCACTCTCTGGTCTCAGACTGACCTTTTCAACCTATAGCAAGCATCTCCCCTATTCACAGTGAAGGTGTATCATGTGATGCCAACAATGGCAATGACAAAACTGACAGCAGCGACATAACGTGCATTCACCTCAAGATGCCCAGGGTCATCCACAGCATTCGCGACAAAGACCCAGTGAGTATTTGAGGGCAAGATGTCCTCTCTGCTTCGGAGGGGTGTTCTTGGATGAAGCTGCTGACATGTAAGTATTTTATTATTGTCTATCAATCGGTGCACACTGATAGATGTGAAACAGGCTAAACGTTCTTGTTTGCATCGATGCATGCTTTACTCAGAAGCACAGGAAAGGCAAGAGAGAAACTCGAAACCAATTGCGACAACATCCAGGAAGCATTTTTGTGTCAGAGAGTGGATGTGAAGACCATGGAGAACTATGTCGAGAGCATTTGACTGCCCTGTAAGAGTGATACTCGAGCTATGCCAGCCACACAGCCTCAAGGTCAAGACGGCTATGAGGGAAATTTGAAGATACTCACCTCAGTTCTGGATAGATGCAAAGAGTCCTTCCTTGTCACAGAGGAGAAACATCAAAAAGCCAGCATGCAGTTCTTTGTGGACACTGGTCTCATGACACTGTTGTGTCGTCATGACCGTGTGCTCTGGCTAGTTAATATAATGTCAGCTGGTGAGTGGCAACACTATGCACTCACACTAATCCATTGCCTCTTCCAACATCTTCCCCCCTCAGCAACAGTCAGACTCCTTTATGACATTGCATGTCAGCTGCATCACAGCTGTATCAACTGGAGTTTTCTCGATGATGTCATTGATTGCATAACCTTTGTGATATCGATATTTCATGCATATGGCCATCAATGGCCATGTCAAGTGATCTACCATCCTCGCAAATATGTTGGATTTAAATTAATGGATGGAGAGGGATGCGAGCGCTTTTGGAGTGCAATCAAAATGCTCATACCAATGCTTCGCATTTCAGGTGTAAGTTCCAACTTTCATTGAGGCAAATATGTTCTGACATGCCTTTGGCAGTACCATCAGCATTTGTTTGTCATTGATACACAGGTCAAGCATCTCGACGATCAATTACTTCATTCTCTCGGACACTGGGTAGCAAGAAAGTGGGCTCAATGCCAAGCCAAGAAGACTACTGCAGAGGCTGAGCTGAGACATTGCAGAGTGGAGGTAGCCGTGCTGCAACAGCAATAGGCTGCCCAAGAAAGGGATCATACAAAGCCTGCTCTACGTAAGTGATGCCACCCGCTGATTTACTTCATGTGATGAGGTACTGATGATCTATTCAGGGTGGTCGAATAACAGAGCAAACCAGGCAATTGAAACAATTCTCACATTGCAGAAGACCCTGCAGACATACCAGATAACAGTTCGTAACCTCGAACACAAGCTCATGGGAGACGGAGGCTTTTTCGATAGCAGTGAACTCATCATTTAGCTTGAGGACGTGCAAATGAAGTGTACCATGATCACTCAAGCAATCGTGTAGAAGAAGGTGGCACTTGGCATCACCGATCAAGCAAGGCTATCCAGCCTTGTCAACAATAAACTTCTTCAGCTCCGGATGAATGCGCGTGCTCTCAAACAGCATATACGTGATCGCTTATGACAGCAAAAATTTGAACTCGAACGTTTGGAGAGATCATATCGCCAAACAGTTAACAGTAAGTTCGCAAAGGTTTCTTACTCATGCAACATCTAATGGAAGTACAGATAAAAAAACTCACGAGTCACATCGAGTCCACAGTGAAATGATGTGAACTGAGTATCAACAAGCTCGCGAAGACATACAACGGTCTCTGCAAGCAAATGTACGACCTCATGAAGAAGTGTGTTGTGTCATGCTTTGCCATTGCACCCATGCCAATCGAGGCTAACACGCTCTTCAAGCTAGATGTTGACGATGACATCTGACAAGATATTGGTCTAGAAGATGACTATCAGGAGGGTCCGGTGCCACCATGGCTAGGTGATGAGGCAGTACGAGCAGGCATCAAGAGCTTGCTTCTGCTTGATCGATGCAGAGAAGAGGATAGGAGATTGAAAGATGAGCGGTGTGCTATGCAGGAGTGGATGAAGGAAGAGTGAGCATGTCTGGATGTGACAGAGCATGAAGCAGGTGAGTGATGATTTATCATTATTTCTTGCCTTGCATAACCAATTCTTGTCCACAGCACATGATCTAGATCTTCAGTATCAACTGCAGGCCCGTCAACACCACCTCTGCAGATTATGTGTCACATGGCAATCTCAGATCCACTCTATTCTCTGCAGCCATCCAATGTCAAAGTTATAGGGTCTATCTCAAGATGAGTTGCGTGATGCTGCAGTATATAGTGTCACAGACTTGTGAAAGAAGAAAACAGCAACAGGTGGCCAAAAAAATGCCACAGGTGAGCAGAATGTCAGTGAGAATGAAGATGATGAAGATTGTGATTTCGCTGAAATTGAAGGTGATGAGAAAGAAGGAGAACTCCTTGATGTAGTTGAGGCTGTTGCTCTCGCTGACGTCTATCATGCATCAATTGAGGTTGACAGTGACTCTGACATCAAGGGCTTTGGTGAGGAGTTTCTATCATTGGCCTCTCCAGTATGAAGGACATCTTCAAGTCCTCGCAAACCTCATCTTAAATAGCTTTTTTATATATAATATCAATATTACATTAAATTAGCTTATTCATTGTTTTCTTGCATTTGAAATGATCATTTTTAAAAATGTCTAACAATAGGACCTAATAGTTCTATTGGAGGGATCATAAATTATGCTAGACATCAGTTTGGGAAGACCTTGTAATCATGATGAGGAACCATGGTCCATAGCAGAGTCTATCAGAAGGACCAAAAGAATGTAGACAAGAATAATGGAAAGGTCATATAGTTATGATGAAGGACCATGAGCTGTAGCAAAGTTAATTGAGGAAGACCAAATGAATTCAGAAAAGAAAAATGGAAAGGCCATATAATCATGGTTGAGGACCATGGGCTGTAGCAGAGTCAATCAGGGAGGACCAAATGGATTCAGAAAAGAAAAATGGGAAGGCCATATAATCATGGTTGAGGACCATGGGCTGTAGCAGAGTCAATCAGGGAGGACCAAGCAGATTCAGGAAAGAACAATGGAAAGGCTGTATAAACATGGTTGAGGATCATGGGCTGTAGCAAAGTCAATCAGGAAGTATTCACTCCACTGTTATCTATCTCTGGCAAAATGATGCATATAAATTCATAATTGAAGGTCAGTGTAACTAACAAATGAGCTTTTAAGTGATGCAACAGCATTATAATTTCTAAAGATAGCAGCAGAAATGTAGCCTGTGAAGTGTTGCACTGAAGCATAAGTATCCTGAAAATTCAGGATTTTCTGCCCTCAAAATGTCTCATATGACCCCCAGACACCATGCGACAGCAGTCATGATGATGGGAAAACCCTTGAGATCAGGTCCATCACAGCCTACAAATGTCCCTATAGTACTGCCCAGAAGGTACCACCTCTGCAAGAAGTACCAAAGGACCATCATAGAACCCACAAATTGTATAAGACCATGGTCAAACCATCACTACAAAGGCTTTTAGCCATATCTTTAAGGAGACAGAGATATGGCTAAGAGCCTCTGACGTGAGGGTGCCTGAAGTGGTTGATGTGCAAAAATATTTAATTTTGGGAGCAAAGCAGGATAGTGAAGCATAAAACATTTTATGTGATGGCCAGTGTTACTGAATTTCAGTGCTTACAGCATGCACTTCATGGCAGGTAAAATAAGTGCTAACAAAAAGAGAGATCTAGGACAATTACAGTCAACAAAAATGACTGAAAAAAGTGTTCATTTTTTTCTAAGGCATAAGATAAAGAGAGAAATAAGTTTTTGAGAGCAAATATTATGATGCAATGAGATCAATAATAATAAAGGTCATTGGGCTGCCACAAACAACAATGCCAAGCAATGTATAGTATCTGGCAGCCATTTTGACTGGTGAGAGCCTTGGTTTGGTGAGCAAGGGCTATCCCTGTCAAGAATATAGCAGAAATATTGTGGGCACAGGATATTAATTAGATATCACAATCATATTTAAAATTTTCATTGCATATCCTACAGGCATTGCGATTCCTGAGGTACGAAGGAGAGTTTGTGCGACACTGGGCACTTAGGGTGTCTATGTGACTTTTTTGATATTCGTGGAACAGTTAAGCGATGCATGGGAGAGTGGACCATTACAAAGTGGTTTCATTTTCTGCCCCTGTCCTGAGGTTAGGAGAGGGCCCTTCCTTCAAAAGTTCCTTACTGTGTTACATTTTGTGCTTACTCAGATTTGTTATCTTTTGTAATGGGTATACAAACCGGAGTTTGAACATGCACGATGCGGCTGATCCAAATAGGTGCAAATATTCAGAGCCAATGACAGCACTGAGTTTGCTAGGGTTAATGCCTTAAGGGCTGATGGATTCAAAGCTGTTCAAACCATTGTATTCAATGGCCTTGAAAGCAATTCAAATCAAGGCTTTCAATGGCTTCAAACCCCGTTCATGCCATTGTATTCAATGGCTTCAAGGCGATTTCAAACCAAGGCATTCAATGACTTCAAAGTGGTTCAAACCATTGTATTCAATGGCTTCGAAGCAGTTCAAACCATTGAGTTCAAAGTTATTCAAACCAAGGCATTCAATGGCTTCAAAACCCTTGTAGTCAATGGCTTGAAAGCAATTCAAACCAAGGCATTCAATGGCTTCGAAGTGGTTCAAACCACAGTATTCATTATTTTGTTATGTATTTCAGTACAGTGACGCAAACAATGACTGATTGAACATTTTCCAGACTCATTATAGTCTCTGCTTGAGAAGCAAGCAATAGATCTTCACATTTCACTGCATTTCACTTCAATTCCTTCATTCTGAGCATATTGAAACAAAAGCTATTGATGCAATTGAGGTTTTTCATCACCACAGTATAGTGATCCATATTTTGACTTTTTTTCAACTTTCAAATATATCAAAAATACATGATATCACACATTGATCCTCTGCAATCAGAGCTGCATGCAGATCATTTTCCGGCTCAAAAAAGCGAAGATTTGAGGTCACTGAATGTATGAAGATGTCAGTCACTCAAATTCTCACGCTTTAAGGTGCCACAATGTGCAAATAACATCAAATTATGACGTTCATGCTGGCACATCTAGCTAGATGTGCCAGCTTCCTAAGCTCAGCAGTTACTTGTGATGTGAGGAAAGGGTAAATAGGACAGTGTGTGAGGAGGAGAGGTTTCGGCTAGACGAACACGTGGTTTATGAATTCATACTGGGAGCAGTGCTCGAGGTCTGAATAGCCAGTGTCTGCAGTCCTGACAACTGTGGTCAGGCTCCTGATTCACTGGCTGACGATCCAGAGCTTCCGAGCATGTTTAGGCTAAAACTCTCGAGCGTACAGCGGCTGTATAGCTGCCTGATGAGGGAGGCATGACTATACCACTGCTATATGCTAAGAAAACAAGGAGTTGGGAGGGTGGGCAAAGAATTTGCTACACAGCGTGGTAGCAAATATCGTGGTGATGAGGAAGAGGTGTAGCACACGTACATCAGGTGAGCGTGTCTCTTCCTCTCCTGCCTGCTTAGTAAGCAAGTGTTCATCCCAGTGCTCATCTCTCATGCTGAGACTGAACTTCACACTTTCTAAGCTCAACAGTCACTTGCGATGTGAGGAAAGGGTGAATAGGACAGTGTGTGGGAAGGAGAGGTTTCGGCCAGGTGAACACGTAGGTTTGTGGATCCACACCAGGAGTGGTGCTTGGGGTCTGGATAGTGAGTGTCTGGGGTCCTGGCAACTGTGATCAGGCTCATGATTTGCTGGCTAATGATCCAGGGCTTCTGAGCACATTTAGGCTGACATTCTTGAGCATAGAGCAGCTGCATAGCTGCCTGACGAGGAAGGCATGACTACATCACCTAACCTATAACAGTTGTGCCACCTTCAGTGCTACGACTCTCCCACATCAGGTCATTGATAAAAGGTCTGCAAAGCTATCAGTTTGATGTGGTACTACATGATGAAACACAAATACATATACTCTAACGAGAGTATTCTGTGCGAAACTTTGCTACAGAAGTCCAGATAAGGTCTATCCGAGAACGATCAAACGAGTTCATGATGAAAAGAGGAAGAATTTGCTTGATATGACACCAGTAATCTAAGAAGGTGTGCGACTTCCACCACCCTTGGATGGCAATGACATCTGGCGGCATGTCATGGAGAAGCAGTTCCATTGTGCCATCTATATGGAATGAGTGCCCAGTCATAGAACACAGACCGGCCGAGGTCCAGACAGTGTTGCAATGATTGAGAAACTAGGTCCACGTCATAGGGACTCAGTTGTCGCTGTCAGTTTTGAATGCGAAGAATGGGGCAGATGGTGAAACAGAAGCATTTGCAGAGAGGTGATGATGAAGTGCAATAAGTGGGTTAGTTGAATCTTTGATGTCAGAGATAATGATATTTTCACCGTCCTGATGAGTTGTTTTCGTCCAAGGTATATGTAAAGTTGCATAACAAGAGCCACCAGGCAGAGAGTGAAAGGTGAGCTGCTGCTCCTGAAAGATGTGTTGCCTAGGATTAAATGAAGCAGCACTGGGTACGATGACCTCACCAAGATGACAGATGCTTCAGAAGGCCATGCATGCATATGCATACACTGCTGCATCAAAGGTGTTTGAAAGGTCCAGGCCATTGCGCAATGTGTGCATGTATTCTAATGTAACAGAAGGTCACTTGATGTGATGAGAAGTTGCTGGCACAGCTTTACTGATAGCTTTGCACACAGTCTTCACCATGTCACCTCCAAGCCAAGGCACTCCATTGATCATATGCCAGAAGCGAAGACCTGCCAACCAGGTGTCGACAGTAGAACATGCAGTGCAGCCCTGCCACTCAGTGAGGAAAGCTGCAAGAAGGTACTCAAGAGCAGTCATGCAGGTCAATTCAGATATATGCAGAGAATCACAGAATTGATTAAAACGCAATAATTCAGCACCATAGTTGGAGTGAGTTTTTCATTCGATCAAAGACAACAGGCAGCTAAAAAGTGCGGACGAAAACTTGGATGACAGAAACGATGTGAATCGAGTTTGTTGCTTGATACTATATGGAGTACGCCAAAGAATGAGATGCTGAGCAGCAGGAACATCTGGGCAGACTGGAGAAGGAGTGATAGAACGTCCAGTCTTAAGCTTCTGAGCCTGTTTCAAGATTCGCGATGTCAAGATATGCAGTTGAGGAACAGCCGGCTGAGTCACTGATTCACTGAACAGATCCTCACCTCGCATCGTCGCATCTGCATATGCAGGTGCTGGGCACGAAATCATACTAGACATAGGCCAAGAATGACTGCAGCTCCTCTGAAAGCTTGAACAGTTTCAGGAGATGAGACAATGTAGCATCTGGTACACCATGAGAGACTGGATCTGCTAAATTGTCTTTGGTAGTAACATAGGAAGGCAGAAAATGAGGTTTGAGGTCATAGTGATGATGTCCACATGGTGAATGGACTTATTAGTATGCCTATTACGATCGCAGCTGCACTTGTATGCATTGATCACACTGGTGTTGTCGTCGCATACAAGAATGGTCGCATCCTGGTAGTCGAGGTGATCGACCACACGGACTGCAAACTCAAGCGCAATCATTTCAGCCCACCTAATGTTGTGTCTGCCTTGCTTCCAGCTGGGAGTCCAGCATCAGGCATCTCAACTTGAGCCCATGATGAGGTCAACATTTCAGTCAGTAGACACATCAACCCAGATCCTGAGATCTTAGAGCTCACCCTGAGGGTGCAGCGACTGAGGTGATGAAGGTGACACCAGAATGGAAAGCCATCAATGCAATATTAGATATGACAGAGTGTGGGGGGTACCACATAGCGAAGTGATTTAGGAAAGATGATATATAGGTGCATAGGTTCAGTAGATAGGCCTGGCCATGCAGAAAAATGAAGGTGATGTGTGACAATGTGCCATTAATACTCATGGATTTACACTGTGTGACATGACCACATTTGGCACCTGTGATAAAGGACTGTAATTTTGTGATATATTGATACACTTCACTTCAGGAAGAGAAACGGAATGCTCAGGTAAGTCCCATGAAAACTGAAGTAAACATGTATGAATTCGTAATCACACAGCTTCTCCTCAATATGCCACGGGACACTGAGAACTGCAGTGATGTGCAAGATGATTTTCAAATCATATGGATAGGAGTATGACATCATGACCTCATTAACCCACCCACCACTGGATGGAAAATGGCATGAAAAAAAGTCATCAAACTACTTCCCAGTGAGCTTAACACCCTCACAAGTGAGGATGTCTATGATGGCATCAGCTGGCTCATCCTGCACACCAGTGATAGAGGATATGCCAAACGGCAAACAATGATCAATGTAAAATATGTCATTGTATCACATGATGATAAAACGCTTGTGTGGTGGCCACACAGAAGATGCACGAAACACTGCCTTAATGTCTAGGGTCACAGCCTGAGCACCATTGGGTGCAGTGGTGACCTATAAGGCATGATGGACGATGTCAGCATAGGCTGAATGGATAGCGCATGTATAACGATAATGGGAGGCATGGTCGAGGCTCATCTAATGATGCACATGCCAGAATTCATCCTTGGTGGATAAGAGTATGTATACGCCATGATGCTAGTAGTGCGAACGAGTGAACGATGCAGATACACCCTCCAAAATGGGTGCACAAAGATTCCTCGAAGAATGAGTGAGTGGAACACTGTCCCCCAGATAACGATGTAAGGATGACACATAAATGAAATGAACGTGACTGGAAACAGGTATGGATGCAGTGCATAGCTGCACTGGAGAAGCGAATGAAGGAAATGAAGGAACACTTACTATTTCTGCGACTTGGGCAGCCATAGCCCAGCTGGCCTGAAACTCATTGGGATTGATTTGATCATTGATCAATACACTGTCTCATCCTTATAGGATAGGTTACACATGACGTGAAACTTCCCTGGGGATCTGGCCTTCTCGACAATGGTGAGCAGTGATGAACGAAAATGGGACCCAAGTTGGTCCTCGACCTCAGATTGCAAAAAGGGGCTAGAGAATCGGTCGATGTCCAGCTCTTCCTGGATGTATGCTTCGATGACAAGAGGATGTTGCAATGCAGAATGATGGTTGCCAAGCATGAAAGAATGGAGCAAAGGTGCAAAGTCACCTATAGGAAAACCATAGCAGATTTAATGCGGTAGGAGCAGGTATCGATCAAAAAGATTGTGGTGTCGTAGAATGGCCTCGAAAGCATCAGCGTTGTACAGCGTTATGATGCAATTATGAATGCAGACAAGTCGAGGAGCCAGCGTGATGCTCTTGAGAACCACAGAAGGAACAGCAGTAAGGGATTCCTTTGGGGCAACGATGGGAGCAGGTGCCTGTAAGGTTCCATATGATGCATAATTCTTGATGACTGGCATCGATGAGCAACCGCTTGTCAATGAAGACACTGATGGTTGGGTGACCATCACAGATAGTTGTTTGCGAGTATGTAGAAGCACAGTGTCTGGTCCTTGCACACAAGAGACAAAGTGACTCTGAGGACGTGAGTCATTTGCCCTCATGAAAGGGCTTGAAGTGATTGGGTGCATGCTCACCTCTAGTACAAGGGCACTCCTCTCTGCGAAGATAAGGCAAAACCTGCTAGGTGAGTCACATGGAGCAGACAGTTTCACAGTGTAGCTCTTCCACATCATCTCTACCTGGATCTTCTCACATCCTCAGGGGGTCCATGTGCAGTGAACCTCGCAATCGAACTGAAGGATTGCCTTGTAATCCCTGCAGAAATGCAGCAGAGACACAAGATGATCATAGTGAGTTTGAAACAGCTCAATGATCTCCTTGTCCACAAGCTTCTGGTAGACTTTTAGCATGTTCTTTCAAGCCTCCATAAACAACCCTACAGGAAGGGACTCTTCCTTGGGCCAGTCAGTGAGGTCAATGATGTTGAAGCGTGAGCCAGAATTCATAGTCAACTTCCTCGTCTGGATGGAAGTTGGATTCAGATGCATTTGCTGAATAGTGTCTGAGGTAACCAGCATTAGAGGGATATGAACCTGCACTGACGTGAGCTTAAGGACAACTGGAGGGATCTTGAAGCCTTGGTCCTTAAACAGGTTGAAAGAATGCAGACACGTTACTGAAAAGAGCTTCTTCTCAGATGTACTCACCAGTTCAGAGGCATCGATGACCTCCTTGATAGCTGTATGCACCTCTTTAGGACCTCTATGCATCTCGTTAAGGCTTATATGCACCTCTTTGCTGGGTGTATGCATATCTGTGAGCACCTGGAAGGCCTTCATGAAGGCCTCCCTCACAGAAGGAGACATGCCATGCATGACTGCTGCAAGGGGAGTCACATCTGCAAGGATATCTGCAGGAGTCTTAAGGGTCTCCCCGAGCTCCTCAGTGTCAGCGAAAATTTTGGTACCTTCGAGATCTAGGAATAACTCATTGTCTGAAATGGCCTCATCGCCACCATCATGCTGGCCTATTTTGGCTGTGTTGCACATGGTGCATTCTTCGTTCTCATGCTCGATGGCCTCTGTCAGAGCACTCAGCCAGAAACTACGTGAGGCATTGTTGCAGTGGGTCAGCTCATCTAGTTCCCTTATCAAACCTTGGGTGAATTTTTCAGAAATACTGAGAGGCTTAAGACCTCCAGGCATAGCACAACATGAGTAGACTGGGTGAGGAATAAAGAACAAAAAATTCGCTACACAGCGTGGTAGCAAATATCGTGACGATGAGGAAAAGGCATAGTGCGCATACATCAGGTGAGCGTGTCTCTTCCTCTCCTGCCTGCTTAGTAAGCAAGCATTCATCCCAGTGCTCATCTCTCATGCTGAGACTGAACTTCATGCATGCACGTCATAGTTTATCGTTGTTTGTAAACAATGGGAGTTGCACTTTTTTAAAATTAAAAACAAGTAAAACTGCACAAATCAGGAATTAAACTTCGGACTTCCAGGACACTTATGTTCCAGATAGTACCAACCATTCTATCCATTAGATCGTCTGCTGTTTATCATCAACACAGGCCAAATATAATATACAGTGATTAAGAAAGCTACACACATATTTTCGTAATTTTTACTGTTTTTCTTCTACCTTCAGATTACCTATAGCTATATTCACAGATAAAATAGTAATAGAAAGCCATACTTCTCAGCTTTCAAATGAGTATCTGTTGGCTGAATTTTGGTGCTCTGTTCTGAAGATATATGCAACTCTATCAGGTTAACTCATTTATACACTTTTGTCACTAACAAACTTCAAAACTCTAGTAGTTGGATAATTAGCCCTTTGCCTTAAACTCTGCCATTTATGCATGCTGTTGATCAGAATCAAATGCACAAATCTGCCAATACTCTTTTATTTCTATATCTTCAAACACGATCAATACAATTATGCTCTGATAATTGATAATGCCATATCATTGTCTTAATAACATTTTTTCTAAGTCAGCTAAGTCAAGCTTGGGATTATTATCTTGCTGAAACGCCATCTCCTTCACTTTTGCTGCAATGCTTCAAGCCATTTTGAAGCTCATTTCTCAAAATGCTAACATAAGGTCAGATTCATCTTGCTATCAGTGTTAGAGGTATATCTCATCATAATGGAAAGCTCTTCTGAGGTCACTCTGAATATTTCAATGCAGTTCGATATCTTGCAGTTCTGCCAAGGTTCATGACATTCTGGAGAAGGGGATTGAATGCTCAGAAAGTGTATCAGAGTGCTCTAGGGACCTGCATGGTGGCCTCGACCAAGTTCCAGATAATGAAAAGCTCTTCTGAGGTCACTCTGAATATTTTAACACAGTTTGATATCTTGCAGTTCTGCCAAGATTCATAACAATCTAGAGTATGGGATTGAATGCCCAGGAAGGGTATCAGAGCCCTTTAGGGATGTGACTGATGGCCTCACCCATGTTTCAGATAATGTAAAGCTCTTCTATATATTACACATCTCAGACTTTGCAGCATTTTCCATCACTAGATATCTACAGCCTGTATTTTGCTATGTTTTAGTCTTCATCCTCCAATGTTATCATCCACCTTCATTGTCACCACTGCAGTGTAGTTGTGAATGTAGAACATGCTTCCATTTATTTATAGGACTGCAGTTTATCACTTTGAAGAAAGTCCTCTGTTAAGTTAGGTTCTTCAAAAAGTAGAAAGATTTCAGAATGGCTTCAAAAAGACACTCTTTGCATGCCAAAGCTGCAAAGAGGACTGGTCAGAAGATATGTTTTTGTCAACATTCCTAACTTCTGAGCATTTATAACAAATTAGAAGCAAATTCAGCTAAATTCTGCTATATGCATTGAAGAACAAGGCATAACATATCACTTGTGTGGTATTATTTACTTTGTTGAGTTTCATTTTACTGCAATGATTGTTGACATGGATGGTCAGACACAGTACAATGATGAAATTGTTACAGATAATGCTTCAACATCATACCCTGTGAGGATGGCACACCATACTCTCCTCAACAAAGCAGATAGCAGATTTAGCTTTGTAGCAATCTACTCTAAACTCTGCTTGACCTAACCTTCAATAATGAAAACACAGTCTGCTACACACCATTGCCTTTCAACTGTCTTCTTTGTCATAAAATAATGTCACTCTAAATATAGCTGCTTCTCGAACAATCATACCATCCTCGATTTCTGCCATAGAGACTGATATTTCCATGAGAATGATGATATGTTCCCCTCAATCAATGTGGTGAATATCATGATAAACTTATTAAAGTCCATTATGAAGAACATCAGGACCTTAGGAATCATTTCTGTCAGAAATGGTCCTCTTACCCAAGTAAGAGCAAGCAATTTTACCATGGTGGCTGAAAACTCAGATTGCATTAACTATTCTCCTTATTTAGATGAAATGAAGAAACAGCATATGAAGTGAGGTATTAGTGTCACGGCACGCCGATGACAGAGATAGACAACCCAGACTAAGGGTTCCCTTGAGGGTCTCTGAGTAAAAGCCTACAGTGATGAGCTGTGGCAATACGATGTGCCCATTGATGAGGCCTAGTCACTAGTCACAGAGTTAGACTTACTGGTGAGGCGAGAGGCGCTATCACAATGGTGAGGATGAAAACAGATGTATAGCACACTGAGAGTGTCTGGTAAGACCCCTCTGTGATGGTAGTGGTGGACGAAGGAGAATAAGACTGGAGTCTCTTCTCGCCTGGTCCTTATATATATGATTATTGTGCTACTGTACAGTACTACCTAAGCAAGTCACATGCTATCTTACTGGTCAGTGCTACAATCATACGATGTGTCCCAATTATCCTAATTGGCTGCCTAATAATTACCCACAGAAACAGAGCTCCCTTCGAGCACAGAATATTGCATTATGGCTATGGCATCATATGATGCAATGCTGAGAGGCTCAGTGTCACGTGACAATGTTGAGAGAGATTCGAGGTCATGTGACTAGATGCCTCATTATCTTATCTCTCATTAGATTACGTGACTCTTTGTGCGACGTGAAATGATGAAAATAATATGCTTCTAATAGCATTCATTCCTATAACGACTTGTCAGGTAAAAACTGTGACATCACCCCCTTCTCAAGGTTCATCGTCCTGATGAGCCAAAGCCTTTGGCACCTCGTATAGTTTGCTTTGCGAGTGAACCGTCTGCCTCAGAAATGATTCCTGGAGCATAGCATTCGCATATGAGTTGTGCGACACGATCGCCTGTCCTGACCTCAAATTGTTTGCTGATCATGTTAACGAGGAGCACCTTGATTTTCCCTGTGTAATCTGGGTCGATTACCCCTGCTGCGACATCAATTCCTTTGAGGGCTAGCCCACTTTGGGAGGCCACCCGAATGTATGTCCATTTTGGGGGATCTACTGCAAGTCCTGTGCCAATAAGCATTCTGGAGTGTGGGGGGATGTCTATGTCTTGTACGGATTTGACATCCCATCCAACAGCTTCTGAAGATCCTTTGTAGGGTGCTTGGGCATTTGGATGAGTGCAGAAAAAGAGCATGAATTCATCAGGGTGATCGGACAGAGCAATTTTGTGTGCTTTGCGTGTTCACGGCTTAGCTCTTGGAGCATCTGGGTGTGCCTTATGAAATTTCTCTACTTTGTTTTTGACATTCGTGAGGTTTTCCAGTGGTTCTCAAGTATTATCGCTATGATCATAGTCTAACCATTTAACGAGATACTGGGTTTTGTTGTACCTGACTCTAGAGTCCAGGATGTCCTCCACGTTCCATTCTTCTTCTCCATCTATGATAATTGGAGGATTAGGGGGAGGTACACATCCAGGGATAGAGTCTTGATGGAATATTATGAGCTTGAAAGCATGAAACACCGGATGCAGCCTCATGTCTGCTGGTAGTTGCAGTTTGAATGATATGGTTCCAATTTTTTCGAGAATCTTGAATGGTCCATAGTTCTGTGTCGCAAGCTTCTGGCTTTTAACCTTTACATGGAGATCTTTTCCTCGAATAAGCACTTCGTCTCCTACTTTGAAAGGAACATTTTGCTTTTTGAGATCGAAATACCATTTCATTCTTTCTGCAGCTAATGACAGAGCAGCACGGGCTTGTTCCTGTGCTTGATCACAGTTATGGAATAAGTGTTCCAGGGATGGATGTTGTATCCCCTCCAGTACGTCTGGTGCCATTCGGGGATGTCGACCATGCTCAATGGAAAATGGGGACAGACCTGTCGATTCTGAAGCTTGATTGTTGTATGCAAATTCTGCTGTGGGCAATAGTGTGGCCCAATCAGTTTGTCGGTAATTGCAATACATGTGCAGATGTTGCTCCAGAATTTGATTGACTCGTTCAGTCTGTCCATCCGTTTCAGGGTGATAAGCTGCAGACATCGTAGACTTGATGTGAAGTTTCTGGCAGAACCCCTGAAATAGTTTGGCTCAGAACTGTGTGCCTCGATCAGATATGATCTGCCGGAGAATTCCGTAAGCTTGAATACTTCATTGTAGAAAATTGACGCTACTTGAGATGCTGTCACCATGTCATCTACTGGGTAGAAGTGAGCATGTTTGGTGAGCCTATCGATGACTACCAAGATGGCAGTCTTTTTTTCTCCCCTATGGTCTGGGCTTGGTGGTAACTGTGTAATCAGGTCACATGTAACCATTTTCCAAGGCCCCTCTGGTTGTAGCAGTCCATAAGGCTTTTGCTTGCTTGTTTTGTTTCTCTGACAAGTTATGCAGCCTTGAACGTACTTTTTTACATCAATGGTGAGCCCTGGTCATTAGTAATTTCTGCTGATCAGCTCTTGCATCTTCCATCATCCAGGATGTCCGGCCGTGGAGATGTCGTGATGCAGCTTGATCAGCTCATTCTGCAGCGTAGAGTCTTTTGAGACATAGACCTTTCCTCTTCTGAGCAGCAATCCATGCTCGAAGTTCCACTCTTGAAGGTCTTTTCTGAACTCTCGCTTGCCAGTTTTTAGTAGGTGCTGGTAACCTTTGGTCATTTTGTTGTCTTGTAGTGCCGATTTCACTCTTTCTAGAAGTTTTGCATCGTCAACTTCGGAGGAATGAGTGGCTGAGATTGCATAGATGGTAAAATATTCAGGTCGAAGCAAAGTTTGCCCTGAATTGTCATTGCTCACCCCCATCTCATGATCTGGCCTCCTGGACAGAGGATCAGCACACATCATCGTCTTTCCAGGGCGGTGATGGAGAATGAAGTTAAATCATGTAAGATAAAGTGACCAGCGAGCTTGTCGTCTGGTCAATGTTTGCGCTTGTCAGAAATAGGTAAGATTGAGGTGATCCGACCATATCTCAACCAGGTGCGAATGCCCTTCGAAGTACTGCCGATATTCTTCCAATGCCCGAATAATGGCTAGCATTTCCTTGTCATAGATCTCATAATTTCGCTCATGTTCATTGAGTGACTTAGAGTAATATGCGACAGGACGCCAGAGTTCGTCCTCTCTCAACTGTTCCAGGACTGCACCAGTTGTGAAGTCCGAGGCATCAGTTTCTAGTCAGAAGGGACGTATTGTGTTGGGGAGCACTAGAATCAGGGCAGAAGTGAAGGCAGTCTTGAGGGCCTCAAATGCCCTTTGTTGAGACTCTTTCCATTTCCATTGAGCATCTTTGCGTGTTAATAGAGTTAAGGGTCAGGTCATCGAGCCGAAATCCTTGATGAATCGTCGATAGAAGGTTGCCAGACCAAGGAATGCTTGTATTTGCTTGACCTTGGTGGGCACTGGCCATTTGAGAACACCATCTACTTTTTTGAAGTCCATTTGTGTCGACCCCTTTGAGATTATAAGACCTAGAAACTTAATGAAGGTTGTCGCGAAGTGACATTTTTCTGGTTTCACAAACAGGTCGTTATCTCAAAGGTGTTGAAGGACTTCCTGGGTTAGTCGTGTATGTTCTGCTGGATTGTCCATGAATATGATGATATCATCGATATAGACTGCCACTTTTCCAGTGCGTATGAGATCGCCTAATACGTCATTCATCATCGTCTGAAAGGTGCTAGGGGCATTACAGAATCTGAAGTACATGACAGTTGGTTCAAACAAACCCCTGTGGGTGATGAACGCAGCTTTTTCCTCATCTCCCTTGCAAAGGCGTACATTGTTGTACCCCCATCTCAGGTCTAGCATCGTAAAGAGACTAGCCCATGAAAGTCCGTCAATAAGATCGTTGATTCACGGGAGAGGAAACTTGTTCTTTTTAGTGATGCTGTTTAAGGCCCTGTAGTCCTGGACGAGTCTAAGAGAACCATCTTTCTTTTTCACGAAAAATACTGGGGCCGCATAGGGGGATTAAGAGAGTTGAATGTAGCCTTTGGCTAGTTCACCATCAATCCATTCATCGAGCGAGTTCTTCTCTCGTAAAGACATAGGGTATACTTTTGCTAATCTCGGGGATGCCACATCTGGGACAAGATCAATTGCGTGACCATAGAGCTTACACATCAGCATTCTTTCCGAGCTCTTCTTCGAGAACACATCTCCAAATTGATGAAATTCTGGAGGGACGAACTTGGACCAATATTCCTTGTCCTGTGTCTCCTCTGCCGGCTGTTCTACCAAATGCTCCTTTGCCTTCTTGCTTATACCAAGGATGTCGTGCACCATGTTATGAAGATCCTGATCCTGCAAGTCTATCCAGTTAATGAAGTTGTCTTCCTGATCTCACCCATCATCCTTGTGTACGTCAGGGAGAATTGCTTCATCTTCAAGTCAGGGTTGCGATAGAAGGTCAACTTCTTCCTCGCTTACTCGAACTTGTTGCTTCCTCGTGTATCTGCATCTTGAGAACGTGACCTCTCTATGTTCCCAGTCAACTCGGGGATTATGTTCCTGTAGGAACTTCATGCCAAGGATCATTGACATGCACTCGAGGTTTGTGATGAGCAAACTCTCAGTTGATCGGTGCCCCCTGATTAAGATACTTGTGACTACACGATGAGTAATTGCACCACCCTTGTTGGAACTGGCGTCTGCGTTGAGGATTCTTATTTTGTGGTTTAGTGGTATCATCTTAAACCCATGTTTTTGAGCGAATCTCTGATCAATATAGCAGAAGAATGCTCCAGAATCCAATAAGGCTGTTGTCTGGATTTTTCGTGATGCGAATTTTATCGACAATTTTGATCGAATGTTTAGAAAAGCCTGTGAATGCAATATATATGTAATCGCTAGGTACATTCATTCTCACGGTACTAATACAATTGTCCCGAAGTGTAGCACCAGACTTGTCTACACTTCGTACTGAAAATCCTCTAAGAATTCATCCATCTCGATGATTCTCGCATTGGTGTCCTTAGCCGTTGATGCCGTGGATGCGTTAGATGCCACATCGTCCTTTTTCACCTTTTCTTTGCCCTTGCCTATTGAGGACATAGGGGTAGAGGTCTTCATCTCGCGTAATGCAGCAATTGCTTGTTCCAGTGCTGCAATTTGAGATGATGTATCCAAGCTACCTTCTTCCTCAACTTGTCAGACCTTCTGCGCTCTTCCCTTCCCTTTGCCTTAAGGGGCATTGGCTCACGTTTGAAACTGTTTTCCTTTATACTCAGGTGTGGGAGAGGGCACTTTTTTCCTCGCTCATAGGCATGCTTTTCGCAGAACAAACATAGTTTGTTTGCCAGCCACCTATCCTGTTCAAGGGAGAGTTCATGTGCACTTGTGTCCATGGCATTAGGTCCTTGGGGGCAGTCGTCTTAGTCACCATGGTCTGTCTAGTAGACTTGTTTCTCGAGACTTGCTGGAGATGTTTAATTTCTATTTCCAGGCAGAATTTGAGATAATTCATCCAAGTAGTTGGAATCTTCGAAGGATCTAGAGTCTCTGTTACTGACATAACTGTCTGGATGTGGGTCGACCGTTGTTCCCTAATTTTGACGATCAGATCTTTATCAGAGTATCCTGATTTGGGGGCATAAGCCCTGAAATTCTCTGCGAAGGCGATCATCATCTTGTGGTGAATTGTGCAGTGCACATCTAACATTGACTGTGCCGTGCACTTGGGATCAAGCGTCTTGTGTGCCATTTCCAGTTTCCTGGTGTATTCTGCCCATGTGCCAACATCTTGTTCAGAGGTGAGCTTGATTGCATACTCTTTCATGTACAGAGCTGCTCCTCCTTCCAGATGGGCATTGGCCTGCTGAATTTTGTCCTTGTCGTCCGTGAAATGGTTGTAATCGAGCCAAATGAGAAGGTTTGTGAACCAGGTCTCGAAGTTTTCCGACGACTTTCTCCCTGAGTATTTGGAAGGATACAGGTTGTGGTCTTTTCTTGTGCCTCCCTCAGGGCGACCATGTTACTATAAAGGGCATCCATCTGGCCCTTTACTTCGTCCTTGTAATCCTCGAAGTCCTTGCGGATTGCTTGGGCTTCGGCCATCAGAGTATTGTTTGCCTTGATGAGCCTTTCCATATCAGCAGAGAGGGTGCTGATCTGAGCTCTTTCAACTTTTAACTGGTCTCGTGTTTCTACTGCCATGATCTCAACATGAATACGAGCCAGTATCTCTTCTTTCAACGAGGTCACCGTGCACTCATGACGTTCATTCATTTTTTGATGTAGTGCCTCATAAGAGCTCACAACATCCCTCATGATGAATGCTTGCACCACATTCATTACCCATTCTTTGACGTCATTTGGAATGGTGGCAGGTGCGGCGGCATTAGCGGCTTCTTCAATCATGTCATAAGAGATTCCCTGCCATTCCCAGGTCCAGGTGTGGAAAATTCTGGCAGGGTGGTGGGCGACGGATTTCTGACTACTCCTGAGGCCTTGGGTGTGCTGCTGATATGTGGTTCTTCTGCAGGGACAGCTGGTCCTGCTTTGATGTGAAAGTGGCCTGACTTCTCCAAGGGTCAGCAGGCTCACTCATGATGTGTCCTCCTGAGAATGCAACATCACCGAGGTTGTATTGAGACATTGGAATTGATGTCGATGATAGTGGGAATGATGTGACAGACAATGTGTTATTCGATCGACTCTTGGTCTCAGCCTGGCGATAGTGTTTTTTAGAAGGGGATCTCTGGGTCTTCCTCGATAAATCCTTTCTCTGCTAGCTCCTCTTGTAAAGCTTCTGCTTGGTAATGCCAATATTCTTGTTCTTCCTCGAAATCAGGAATGAGACAGAATAGTGCCGAGTAGGTTGTGTAAGCATGTACTTCTACTGTGTAGTGGTAGAGTACTTGTTGCCAGTTGGTGATGAGAGGTTGGTAGATGAAATCCGTGGTGCAGATAACTGTGAGTTGTCCCTGTGCTGGACGATAAAAATCCACAATATAGTTTTCGTATATGAAGCTGAATGTGTATCTCAGCATGAAACCCTTGATTGCGGTTATATAAAAATATTACTGGTCCTAGTAAGGCTAGTAGCACGACTCCTTCTCGAACCTTACAATATCTCATCCTACGCGCTCCTGCTCCTTATTGATCTTTCCTAGTCCCATGCAAAGCTTGATTGCGATGCATCTATCGATGAACATGAAGTCGTCGCCTCACCCAATCCTCTCGTTTAATGCTCCTAAGTGTTGCAGAATGCGATCGTGACACTGGATCTGTGCTTCCGTGAACTTGGCAGCGATATGAGGCTGCTGTAAGACTTTGTACCGCTGGATGGTAGTATATACGGTCAGCGCAATGTTCTCTGGAAGCGTGCCTTTGGGGTTCTCGTGTATTCTGAGAAGGTGATAACTCTTTGAGAGTGCAAAGGTGAGGATGGTAGTGGCGTCGTCGTTAGACCACCAATGGGGTTTGTAGATGGGGACAGATGGGTCAGATGCATCTTCTGGAACTGCTTTGGCCCACGAGCTGACCTTAGTGTGCAGCTTCTATAGTTCTGAGCAATAGGCCTCGTTTGGTTTAGCCTGGAGTAGGTTACTTGTCGTCAGACGACGAGTGCAGTTGAGATGGGGATGGTAAAGGTGATATCGTCTGTTGGGCGGTACGATACTGTTGTGCACTTGAGGTGCTTTACCGGTCAGTGCAGCGCTGTTCCTTTGGAAGGAAGGAAGCAGCTTAGGTGGTAGAGGTGAAGTGGAATGGTATGAAGGAAGTGGTGTGGAAAAAGCTCTGCCCTGGGCAAAAGTATCTCCGGGCGAAAACGTGCGACTACCAGTGTTAGACACTTGGTAGGGGCGTAAAAGGTCAGTCTTATTCTAATGTCATGGCACGCCGATGACAAAGATAGACAACCCAGACTAAGAGTCCCCTTGAGGGTCTCTGGGTAAAAGCCTACAGTGACGAGCTGTGGTGATACGATGTGCTCACTGACGAGGCCTAGTTGCTAGTCACAGAGTTAGACTTACTGGTGAGGCGAGAGGCGCTATCACAATGGTGAGGATGAAAACAGATGTATAGCACACTGAGAGTGTCTGGTAA